TGACTTCAGAACACAGTATACATGGTACCTTTATAAGAAATACAATGTGCTGTTCCTCTTAGGCTCATTTTATATTGCAGCGGAATGGAATGGGAGCGAATTTTTGTAACGATATTGTATGTACATAACATAATGAACTTTATGGTCAATTGTGTAACGTTGAAATTGAATACGAGCCAAAATCTCCCGCGGAACTGTCGTGCATACTCGATCTATGCATGCTCTACCTTTTGGGGGAAGAGAAACGTTAACACAACTAGCACATTTTTGGCAAATACATCGTATTAAAATAAAATAAACGTGTAAAACTAAACAAAGGCAAGTTTGGTGTAGGTACTTCAAATATTTTTACGCTTTTAGTTCTTCCTAGAGCTCTCTGACCGTATTCGAGATTTTCATCCTCAACACTACTTTCTTTGAGTATTGCATTCCTTGCCAAGAGGTACATTCGTCGCACTTTAGCTTATTCTATATTGCAGCGGAACGGTATGAAAGCGCATTTTAAACTTTTATGTTACGTACAAACTAGAGACGAGCCAAAATATAGGTCGCACGTCTTCCGGAGAATTCTAGCGATTTAATTCCGCCTTCCTATTTCCATCGGGGGGACTAGACGTAGGTTGGGGATCCACCCGTGTTGTGGATATTACAAGGATTCATATGAAGCTTTTTGCTTTCACATTTATATGGTCAACGGCTATGTACTGGAATTCCGTTCTTGCAGACTTATCTAAGCGCAGGCCACACCGCGAACGAAGCTGGCTAACTTAGCTTAGCTCACGTAGTTGCATGCCATGCCAAGCTAAGAAAATACGTACCTAAGTGGTGACTACGGGCGGCACAAACGACATATTTTATATAGCTTAACGGGATCGTTGGGTTAGTTAGCTTAGTTCGCGGTGTGAACCGAAGTATGAATGAATGGGCCTTTTCAAGGCGAGAGTGAACAGGCATTACTCTCTTTCCATCAAGAGGTCAAATGCGCACGTATTTTTTTAATAAATAAAGCAATCTCGGGAACACTCGCAACTACCGTATCGTATCTATAGTTTGTACGTTGCACAATTGACACAAATTTATTTTTGTTATGTACAATTTCGTTACATAAAAATCGCTTCCATTCCGTTCCACACACTGGTACATTTCAGTCTTAAGTCGTACATCATGCATAGGCAAACGGGAAACACTGGAGAATGTGACGACCTCAGTGCTGCCGCCGTAAGTTGAAAGGGCGGGTTCAGTACTATTTTAAAACCGAGATAATAATCTACAAAGAGATGAAATTGAAAAAAATCTACTTTTCTATTGCGATAACTTCATACCTTATCCACTTTATCGGCCTTTTTTACTAATCTCGGAAATATACACATTTAAAAAAAGAAAGTCACGTGCGCCCTTTCAACTAACGGCGGCAGAGTGATTCAACGGTTGGATCTATGGGCTCCCTTAGGACCAATTTGGGATTTTTTTCTAAATCGGTTATGGTCTGGGCGTACCGTGCACTACAGTATACCCCGCAATGCATTCCTTTGCTCTGGTATTCATTAGTACACGGATTTGTCGTATTTGAGGCCCTTATAGTGGTTTGGGCACATTATTACATGATGCTCATGGTGTATGTGATACAAGATTGAAAACTTGGCCTATGCACTGTCGTGCATTTACAATATTTATCTATCATCGTCAGTTGGTAGAGTATTTGTCGTTTATGTTTGTTTGTATTTACTAGAATGGGTTGAGAATAAAACCAATATAAAAAAATTAAAAGCGTTTTATTATATTTGAGAATAGCTAATGTTACATGATTAATACCTAACTAAAAATGGCACAAAATACTTCAAAAATAAAGTGCCTCCTTAAGGGACCAGTAACAATACTGTTGAAACTAACTTACTATAGAAATTTCGTAACTACGCTAACAATACATTATTGCAAAATAGATGTATAACAAAACTGTACAACACAGCAAAGTAAAAAGTGCAAATTGTTCACATTGTTTTTCTCCTGGAAAGTTCGAGACATCGGAAGGGTATCTCCAAGAATACGTAATTAAATGTTAAGTAACGGGAAACATGATTAAAAGACTTCGTGGTTTTTGCCAAACTTGGCTTGAGTAAATGTAGCAAAAACTACGCAGGCGCTATTCGTGACGTCTGCGGTTTAACTTTTTGATGTCATCAAATAATAAATCTTCTTTTATGGGTATTTTGGAAGTGATATAAGATTAAACTCGATACAATCATCTCGGAAATATTCACCAATTATTGGTAATTTCTTTCTTATTTAATAAAACAAAGACATCAGAAAGTTTGGTTCTAAATGCATTTATTACCGGTCGTTCCATGTATTCAGTTTCATGTGAAACTACTGCAACCTAAAAATCCATACACAAAGCAACGCAGTCCATATGGGGATCGCGTTTCTAAATATTGCTTATAAAAGACAAAACACTTCCCTTACTAGCTTAAATATGCAATATTATTATTAAGATTTAAGTTTTAATTCAATTTTATCCCAAAATGTTAGTTTCATTTGTAAGTTAGCTTGTGCGTTGAGAGCGAGAGTTGAAGAGCGAAGCCACGCGGGCGTTGCGTCAGCGTTGCGTTGTCGCATCGCAACACCTCTCCCCGCTTCGTTTCCTGCCCCTTGTTCGATTTGCACGCGTTCCGTCACTGCGCGAAGTTTCGACGTACCGTGGGCATGTCGTTCTGATTTACATGTAGTAACAACGCAGTTGCGTCAACGCAACGCCCGTGTGGCATCTCCGCAACGCCATAATTAACGTGCTAGTGCCATAATCGGGCGTTGTATTTTTACGCTTTTTCACTCGTCAGGACATAACCAAACAACGCATGCGTAATTTAAACTAGTTTTATCCCATAAAGAAACGAATATTAAATATATTTTTTAAAACTAAAGTTAGAATTTGTTAGAAAGATCACTTATATTAAATTCCTTCTATGGAAATGGATTATTTAAACATACTTGTTAACAAATCGAGGTTCATTTGTTTATTTTTTAGTAAATTATCGTTTTATTGTACAATTATATGAGGTCCAAAGTACATTGTAAATGTTCAATGGTTCATATATACTCGACCTTAATTAATGTAATAGTTGCGAGTAGTTTTTCGCAATTTCAGAGCGGTTTCCATGAACAATTCTGGTCTAGTGAACGAATTTGGACCTTATATTCTAAAATAATACAACTTAAGAATAGTTTACAAAGGCGTGCTAGGATATTTTGTACTCATTTCTAAAATTATTGTTTGTTATTTACAAATATTTTAAGATGATTTAAAAACAAAAAACGCTTTAGCACCGCGCATGTACCAAAAGTAAGTTTTATATAGGGTAGCTTCGATGAAACGGATAACTGTGTTATTATACGGCCCTCTGCTGGGCACGGCTTTCCTGTGTCACAGCACACACCTCGCGTGCAGAGCTACTTGCATCCGGCAACTTCCATTACTCCACTGCGGTGCGGAACTAATGGTTGTAAACTGCACAGTACTTGTTTTATAAAGTGAGTTATACATTACAAGTCCTTCCGAAGGAACGGACTGTTTTTTTTACTAGCAGAAAAATTGTGATCGTTGCACACCGAGTGACTAATTATGGAGTAATGTCCAGGAAACTTTTGTCTTACTCTTTATTTGAGTGCATACGTCCGTTTTTTAACCCGGCGCATTGTCAACTCTTTGTTTAAATAAGGTTAAAACCCATCACTAAGCCCGTAATCGAGGGCAATAACTATTAACATCTAAATATGTGTTGTAAATGGAGTTTTGTGCCTTTCTATTAAATCGATTCGCTTGATAATCGAATTGAAATAAATCGAAACAAAAAATCGTTGGATTGTATGCACTTGAATCGATCTTAATAAAAATCGAAGTGTAATGTGCATTCTTAGTAGTAAGAATCCACAACTAAAAAAGATTTTTTACATCGAAATTTCCATAAGTATGGAATTAACTAAAAAAAATACTATTTCGGGACAGAAATGGGTTAAAACTCTTTGTGTAAACCTGGGCGGGTTGATTGGGTTGTAATCCAAAGCCCATCTTTGCTTGTGTGGAAATTATTTTACGAGAGTGTTTTATAACAGAGCGTGTAGGTACAACGTAATGTCAAATAAAAAGCTTTTAGTTAAAGCACGATGCCAAAGCGAGTTGCTATAAAAAAAATCGACCTCAAAACTATGCTTGTCCATTTTCGGTGTATTTGTTGCCGTGGCCTCCTCAATGATAATAAACACAGATGGAAGCCTGGTCAAAACTAATCGTATGAGCCTAAACACGATGCAGCTGTTATACACTGGCGATGGGCGAGTCAAGTTATTTAACTCGAGTCACTCCCACAATGAGTCAACTCGAGTTACTTTCTTATGAACTCGAGCTAGCTAAGTTCGGTACCCGCCCCGCCGAGCCGAATACTACAGTCGGTTCGGTGACCTTCGGAACACGCTCGAGTCGCGGTCGGTATCTCTGCGAGACACCGAGTCGAGTCAACTCGAGCAACCAAAAAAATACAACTCGTCCTATCGCCATTATACATTGTTGAGGAGTTCCTCTCATCTGTCTGCTATTTCCATCATGATCATCATTTTATTTTTATTGCTTTTCATTAACTGCCTCCGTGGCCGAACCATGCCGAACTGCCACGCAGAGGCCCAGGTTCGATTTCCGGGTCGGGAGAAATATTTGTATGGCCTACATTTATTTCTCTCGTGAGTTTGGGTGTAATTTGTGGTTGTCTATGTGTGTGTCCATGGCACCCGCGACACAGCGTTTCCCTAGTGCGGGACTGTGTTGAGTGTGCGCGTTATTATTATTATTATTGGTTTGATTAAGAATTGGTAGTGGGTGAAACTCAATACTCCGGAATCATCCCCTAATTAAAAACTAATACTGATATGAATAATCATCGGAAACTGTTCACAAATACCGGACTAATCGCGTAACAAACACACAAAAAAAATATGCTCGAATTGAGGACCTTCTCTTTTTTTGAAGTCGGTTAAAAATTAAACCAGTTATTTACCGAATAAGGTTAGTGTTCGTAGTTGAAAACCAGATTAATTAAAATCATACTTATGTCTACTAATGTATTCAATCCAAATTCCGCATTTTCATTTGCAGTTCAAACCTCCTATTAGTCCTAACCCCTTTTATAACCGTCCGATTCTCGTTTCTCTTCGAATCTCGCCTGTTAGAAAGAGATGAGAAAGATTTCTCTCTCATTACGGTTTGTTTGGCAACAGCTCGTCGGCTTATCGTTCCGCCGTTTAAAGATGGTTGTGTCAATTGCCTCGTCAAACCATTAAACTTTTCCTTGTTAGTTAAAGTATTGGGTTTTTCCTTTTCACTTGTCAAACTCTTTGTTTTTTCCATTTGTATTAATAAACCAACGGTTTTTTCTTTAGCAGTTTTGGTTTTCGTGATACTGAACGGGTTTGCATCGCAGTTCATTCTGAAACCAAACCGAGTGAAGCCGGGACGTAAAGAATCGAGAGTGGGTAGTGGCTCCGGGTTTGTTGCCTGTTTGGTTTCAGTCTCCTTTAAGAGTTCTTTTGTTTTCAGTGAAGTACCTTTTGGTTCCGTAGAAGTACCATTTGGCTCGGTAGAGGTACCTTTTGGTACCGCAGTGGTACGCTTTGGTTCCGTAGAGTTACTTTTTAGTTTTGTAGAAGTGATTTTAAGTTCCGTGGAAGTACCTGAAAAGTAAATTATTTTTTAATATTGTTAATAGATTATGATGCCAAATTCTGTCGTGAATGAATTAAAATTACCAACCAATCTTTGCGTTCGTAACGGCTCTACTAATGGGACATTGTATAATAGACTTCTGTATTAAATGTTAATGTTTATTAATCTCCTAAGGTCTCGGATGCTAATTTTAGAGATATACCATGGTTTAGTAGTAGTTACAGTATGGACGCAGAATTTAATCACTCTCTTGTGAAAATTACCCAAATTTACAACACATTTATTGATTTATTTATTGTATAGGAAAGCCAACATGATGGTTTACAACAATAGCAAATGTAGAATACTTGACAAAATTTAAAGGATATACACCATACTTATTGGCTAACACAGAAAGCTGTACAGATTCAGGGATATATGAAAAATAATTATTCTATTACTCTTCATAATTATAATCTCTACTTTCTTTATAGTTAAAAAGAAAAAGTAAAAACAATATAATCCCTACATTAGAATGAGAATACAAATAAACGGTATGGTACAAAACAGATCATACAGAATTTTGAATAAAAAAAAATTTAATTTGATTTTTAAAGATAGCTAGCGTAAATTTATTTATTTAATTTATTTATTCACTCTCACATAAGGAAGATTGTACATTATAATTATATGTTAAACAAGACTTACTAATGACTAATTTTATTAATTTATGGCAAGAAGGCAGTATGACTAGTGACCGCGTAGTGAAGTTTCGAAAACCAGTCAATTGACCGATCTTGCACTCAATCGGCGTCGAGCAAAGAGACGATTTTGACATTTGTACAATTGAGACATTTTAAGAAAAATCCCGTCGTGTTTATTTATAAAATTCATTTGCCATATTAAAGTATAAAAAACACAAGGAATCACATGCCAGGCGTAAGTTGGCAAAAAGATTAACATTATTGCTATATTTTATTTATTTTTCTGTTTATTTTAATAAATACCAGCTATTTGAAGATTGAGATAGCAAATTATTTCTGTAGCGAAATTAATTTTTTATTTTTATTTTAATTTTAATTTTTTATTTTTATTTTTTTTTTACAAATTATTTCTGTTATTTCTGTTGCGGATACCAGCCCGTTGCACCAAGTACCAAGTACCAAGTTCTGTAGCGAGTGCGATAAGGACGCATGAACTCCAGACATAGATTATAAGTGCAGGTCCGTGCATTGTAAGCCGCAAAATCATCAATATGGTAGATGACTGGACTATAATATTTTTTTTATTTGATTTGATCAAAATACCAAATAATGTTAGTGTTTGATAGCGAAAGAACAATTTCATTTGTGGCGATCTTTATGAAAGGTCTATATCCAGCTGTGGACGTCTTTCGGCTGAAGTGACACAACAAACAAATCTATTTAGCATTGTTCCAAGGTAAGATGATTCTATTTGACTTATAAATATTTTTCATATGTGTCTAATAACAAAATATGTTGTTGTTGATGTTTTTCTTCTCATCTACTTTTCGGAATGTTCATTCTATTCAACAAAAATCATAATCATCTATCATCTTGCAAGTGACGCGCGATTTTTTCAAAAAGAAAAAAAAAATGATTTTATGGACTTAAAATCGCATTCGTCTGTGAACTGGCAACTGGTATTATATCAATTTTGACAACTTGATATTGACTTACAGGTGAAGAAAAAAATATGTAGTGTATGTGTAATAAAAATATTAAAAAAGTACGTATTTTTGTTTAATAAACCAGATGCTATATAAATGAGGCAAACAATTTTTTTTTGTCAAATGTAAAGTCAATGTAAAGTAGTCAAAGTTGAGGTTGCTAGTTCACAGTCGATATACTCTAAAAAGCCCAATAAAGTTGGTTGTTTTTCGAAAAAAAAATGTTTCATTTTCAATTCAACGTTGGTCAAATATTACTACATGAGTGTATTTACATAAATTACATATAATAACTCATATTACAAAATCATACGAATATTATACTTATTTCTATTGTCACGCGTCGATAAGCCTCTATAGGAATTATTATGATCAACGGAAATCAACCATTTGTTTGTAAAAAAATGAAGTACATTTAAAAAAGTCGAACTGTGAAAACTCTTAGAACTAAAATCATATAAACTATGCTTATCACACGGTTTGATTTGAAAAGTTCTTAGCTACTCCAAGTATAGGTGATTTAAGAAGGGTTGATGTAAATTAGTGCATCCGTAACATGTTGTGCAACAGCAATGTTATCGCTTTAGTGTAACTGACAAATTCTTCCCGTTATTAACATCTGTCAGTTTTTGTCAGTTTGTTCAATTTGAATAATGTGTAGAGACGGTAACTTCGATCTTTTATGGATTATTTTAAGCGCCATCTATTCGCGCCTGGACCAATTGAGATCATGTAAAGAAAAGAATGCTTGTGTGCAGTACTTCTTTTGTATCCTAGTTTTATTGAATAGTATATTTACAAAATTATACTGTTTATAAATTACTTCATTATGCAATTATTTCACCAATTACGTACTAATTACCGTTGTTTCTTACATTTTCTAATTACGTTCAAGGGAAAAACTGAACTCGACAAAATTTGATTATGTAATTTGTGAATGTTTTGTATAGTAAGGTTAACCATTCTTTATCGACAGAAGAACTTTTAACACCATGTAATAAGAGCGGAAACGCTAGACGCGATACTTACGTCTTTTACGCTTTTATTGCATGAATTTTTTTTTTAAATAATATCAACGACGGGACGAACAAGTCGTGGGCCTGATGGCAAGCGCCACGCCTTCCATTACAGTTACAGTGCCACTCAGAGCTTTAAATCGCAATAATCTAAGGGGCACTGACCCTGCGTCAGTCGCCCTGAGACATAAGTTGACAAGTCCCATGTGCCTGTAATTTCACCAGCACCGTTACCCTTCCAAACCGGAAAGCAGTAATGCTCATACTACTGCTTGGCGGCAGAAATAGGCGTCTGAATGTGATCTGATATAAATCTGAGTGTGATGTCTTAAACAACAACATTAAGTAATCCAATTGGAAAATTAATGCATTTAAGATTACTTACACTTACGTACTAGTACGTACTGTAAACATCGGCTGGTTGACCGACGCGGGGGTGTTCGTCGCTCAGATAAAGGGTATGTGGCAGAAGCGTACCTGCGGGGCTGCTCCCGTCGAGGACGGCCACGCCTCCGGTGGGCGTCAGGAGCTGCCGCGCGCGCCGCGCCTTGCGCAGCTGGCACTCGTCCAGGGACTCCATCCTGCAGACCAATCGCCACCGCCGAGCGTAAGCAACACTACGCCGTTCCTCCGTTAATCGGACATCGGACGTCCTGGGGCTACCACAACCTCTTAAAACAATATTACTTTAACCTTAGATTGACTTTTCGTACCATGACGCGCTTAAAGTAAACTTATATTTTATTAAGCTTATGTTTCATTGGCAGCTTTGTGACTATTCATTCGCTCAGTTCGTACTATGGCGCGACTTGACATTAAAGTAATATTGTTCTTATGTCAAATTTACCAATCTTAAAATAGTTACACGGATGCAATGGAGGCAATATTATTGTCTAAATGTTGATTTGTAACGATTAAAAGTTAAGTTGAACTTATTTATTTACATATATCTCTTCAATATTTTGTTTATTTTTTTATTCAATATTACATAGGAAATAAATGTTAATTTCGTAAAATTACGACAGCATCATCTATATGCTCCTTGGGCGACACTAACAGTTGACACTGGACTGTAATTCCGAATTCACAACGTGACAATCAAGTCTCAGCTTATTTTATTGATTTTTCTTCATGAAAATGCGGAAAAATAATTGAAAACAACGTAATTTTGATAGATTTCATTATAACATACTTATCGTTTTTTGGCAGTTAAAATTCTCTGAATATAATAATTTTAAATACTTTTAACATCATACTACAATGGGACGATTCGAAACATGAAAAAAAGAAAGAGATGGCATTATACAGTCCATATAACGTTATTTATTTCCTATTTTTAGTGAGGAATAGACAATATTGGGAAATCATTCGTTCTTTCAGTCATTTTAGCAATAACACATTACTTGGTTGATAGGTTTGTCATGGTACGAATACGAGTAATATTATAATAAGCTTGCTATAAGCTTACATTGAAATAAGATTGTTTTTAAAAGGTTATGGTAGGCCCCTGGTGTTGAAGCTACGATTGGCGCTTAAACAAAACTGTGAACTCCTACAGGGAGTCACAACACGGCTCGGTACCGGTATAAAAAATACATGTATTACTAGCATTTCCCATTTCGATACCCGAATACCGGAACCTAAATGTTACAGAATTTAAAAAGCCATGAAACAAAAGTTGTTCTTTATGATGTTAGTAAGTGCAAGGAATGGCTTATTTTGCAACAGAAATCGTCATGTTACTGGTTGGTTACGGAATGGTAGTCCGTAGTTGTCTGGTAACAGTCATTTGTACCCTTTGTCGTCCTGATTAGATTTGTTTGTTTTCGCTTGATGTGTGTATTATTATCACTCGTAACCAGTAAATTAGATTAAGGATGTTTGTTTTATTGTAGGCCTTTTGTTCAAAATTTTGTTCCAACAGATAACACAGGCGGAGACTGAAAAACAGCACGATGCTGAAGCTTCGTCCTTTTATCACTTATAGCTCATAATTCGTTAGTACATAATATCGTGCAATTTTCTGTATGTTTTGTTTTTTTATTTTTATAATATCAAGTGATAGGACGAACAAGTCATGCGCCTGATGGTAAGCAACACGCCTGTCATTAACAGTTGCAGTGCCACAGAGCTTTAAATCGCAAACATCTGAGGGGCACTGCCACTGCGCACGTCACTATGAGACGTAAGTTGACAAGTCACATGTATATATAGTCAATTTCACCAGCACCCTTATCTTTCAAAACCGGAACACAGCAATGGTGACATTACTGCTTGGCGACAGAAGTAAGATGGCAGTGCTTCACTGGACAAACTATTTCACAAGCTCTACTGCTATTAAAATAAATGTGTGTGTGTGTGTGTGGTTGATGAATAAAGTCCTATTTAATTTAATTTTAAAAGTCCTGCAAGTTTGTAAGTATTTTAAAAATAACCCAGTATAATGGCGGATAATTGATAATTAACTGATACCATGAGGTAAGCGAAACCATTGACCACCATATAAGATAATTTATACCGGTAGTACTTATTTCAAATACAGGTACTGCAGCAAGTTTAGTGGCACCAGTTCCGGATAATACCGATATTCCAAACCCTGGTCACAAGAAGTTACGCATATTTTTAACTAGTGATTGCACAGAAAACAAACACTTCACGGCAAACTAAATTTAAAATTTGTTTTGCATTAATTTTAATGTTCTTTGGTATCATGGCTGCTATCACCGCGGTCGAATAATTTTATTACGCTCTAAATATGGAACCGGAAATAATCCGATAACAAATAGCCGCAATTTAGCCTTTAAATAGTTTAGATACAGTTCTTAGGTTTTCACAATTGTTACAACAAATATACGCGAGTATCCGAGAAAATAGTTTTATTTCCAATATCTATTTTTATTGAATATCATGTATTTTACTATGATGATATTCATATACTTTTATGTGAAAATACTTCACTAGCTTTTTATAATTATTGATACACATATCAGAGAAACACAAAGAAAAAAAATATTGAGTCTGACTTGAATCCAACCAGTAGAACCATGGATGATTATGTATGTCTACAAAACTATCATGGTAACTGGGGCCTATTAAGAGTCCCTATACAAACCTGTCGAATTGCTTCCGGTGTAGCGCCGCGAAGTTGGGCAGCTTGGTGCGTTTCACGTCGGACCTGGTCTTCGACGGCGTAACCGGTTTCCTCGCCGGCGTCGACTCCGCTAGCTTCGCTGGAGACGTGCAAAACATGATAAATCTGTCAGTTAATTAATTCAATTATAATAAATAACCACTATAATTGTCACCAAGTTAGCCATTAAGATTTAAGTTTCACTTGCCATTGGACCTTAAAATATTATTATTATATTGGTTAATAATTATATCTCTTTTGTAAAAAAAAAACCGACATCATTATGTTCGTGGAAATAAATCTATTTGCAAAGTTTTATTGCAATCGGTTACCGAAAAGTGCGCGACACCGGATTTATCCCCTAATTTGCCACCCTTAGAGGTGGAATATTTTCGTTGTGTAACAAACACACAAAAAAAAATTCGAATAGAGAACCTCCTCCTTATTTGACGTCGGTTAAAAATAAACAGAAGCCACTGTAGACAAAATGTAACACTAATAATTTGTACAAAAAAAGTTACTTTATTTTATATTATTTTTTTACTACTGTTTTTTGTTACCTTACCCAACTTTGTTGGAAAATTATAAGATTTAGTCAGTAAGAGTTTAGGTAGAAGCTTTTATAAGGGTAGGCTAAACCGTTAAGCACTATACGCGTTGTTGCTCTAGAATACCTCTGGGACACTTGAACAGTTACACTCCCGACAAATCCCTTTCAGCATTTATTTACTTATTTAATACATACAGCTATCCATGGCATCCTCCGCATCAGTCTTTTCATACAGGCCTTTTCTTGTTATATTAGACATGGCTTTTTTAGCCGATTTAAAAAAGGAGAAGGTTCTTAATTCGACCGTATTTTTGTACCGTATTTTTGACCGTAGTTTACTGATTTTGATGATTCTTTTTTTTTGTTGAAGGGTACCTCAGTTTGTTCCCATTTAAATTTGAAGGCAATATTCCACCTGCAATGGTGAACTTGGTCACGAATCCGGTTTCACGCACTTTCTGGTAATCGATTCCAATAAAACTTGGCAAAAATATGTGATTCCACGAACTTTCGAGGTCAGTTTTTTTATAAAAAAGTTATTTTAAAGTCAAAGTATTTGAGATATGATGGATTACCCTTTACTCATATCACCTATATGCTGTTATTTATGTTATGTAGTCAAACACAGAAGGAAAACGTCCAGAATAATATTGACGCTATCTATCACCCTGTATGTGTTGTTCCAAATTTATTTCTCGTGCGATATGAACGGAGAGAAGTGTCATGTTTGGTATTGCTCTTGACTGTACCATTTTCCATGCTTCATGTGGTCTGAGATGGGTACTGACAAAAATTAATTTGTATGTAAAGTGATAATCTTGCAGTCTATAATCGGTCGACAGACGTGTCTTGCTGTTCTCGATTGCGAATGTCATTGACGGACAAGTGTTCCATATCATAATGTGCTCATATGAGAAATATTTTATTGTGATAAATATTTATTGTTGCGTTGCCAAAGCTACGCCTTTTATTCCACATTTCTGAACACCATTATTAACGTTTGACAGAAACAATGTTTAGTTAGTTATTTGGATTTTATTATTTTTAATCTTGTAAGCTAGTGTTGTCGATACCCCTTTTAATGTTGAATGAAAATAAAAGGAGAATGGTACTCTGGTACAGGGTACATAGTGTTAATAATATCACTATGCAATCTTGTTCGATGAAACACAGGCTTACCAGAAGCACTGGACGTCCTAGGTCTGGAGAGACGGTCGACGGAGTGCTGCAGCCCATCAGCGAGGCGTTTGCGCTTGGCGCGCGAATCCTGCGCGTCATCTTGGGTGAGGGACCGCTTGCGCGTCGTTGGACGGACGGGCTCTGAAAATAAACATATATTATTAATAGGGTGTGGTAAGTATCATTCACTGTCTGTAAACTTTCTTACTAAGTTTTCAAAAGTCTTATCTTCTATTTATAGACAATAAATTGCAGTCTTAATCAGAGGAAACTTAGCGAGGATTTTTTTTTTCCATTATCTAAAAACAATAATTGTTAACGTCAAGGCATCAGCAACCGTTATGTCCCGTCAAATAATTAAATAAGCAAAAAGAAAAACAGATATTCGAGCAACATGTGATTACGTCACTCTGATGCTGCTGGCTTCACAAGCATATAATGAAATGAAAGATGAGCAATGCTTACCATTTTCCTCAAAACGGAAACTCTTATTAGATCCTTTCAGGCTGGACTTAATGATCTTCTTCTTTTGCTGCGTCATCACACCAGGATTGTTCACCGGACTGCAAAACATTACCCGTGTCTGTCTCGGCATCTGTTCGGCCAGAGATGACAGTCTAGTCTGTTTTTCAATTGACCTGGTCACATTTAGGAGACTTTTTTTCTCCTTTTGTGAACTTTGGGACGTTTGAGAAACACGGTATGGTGTGAAACCTGGTGATGGCAAAGACATTCTCTTTGTAGGAGTTCTTTCTGAAGATATTTTTGGTTTTGGTGATGTTGTTACTTCTGGTCCCTCTTTTGTGAATGTACCCTCACGTTTGATTGGTGTTACCGATTGCAGGCCTTCATGGACATTTTTATCGGGTGTTTTTGTTTTGTTAGACACGTTAAGCAGTTCTGAATGTTTTGATTCATCTATACTACTTTCAATCAGTACTGGAGTTGTGTTTATTATGTTTTCTGTCTTGGAATCGTCACTTGTAATGCTAACACGGGAATTGTCCGATTTATCAAATGTTACATTAACAGTACTGTCGGAAGAGATAAGTGAAGATTTTGGTGAAGTCTCTTCAATTTTGTCATATGTTGAGTTTAGTTTTATTTCTTTATCACAAGTAGTGTTTTTCATATTATTTTTGGTGACAATAACTTCTTTCACAATATTATCTATCACATTGCTGTTACGTAGGGAGCGTCTAGTTTTTGGTTCTGTCTCAAATGTAGTGTAAAGTTTGTTGGGATTTTCAATATCCATAGAATCCACTTTATCAAACTTAGAGATTTGAACTTTCACAGGAGTTATAGGGCAATCAATTTTGTCAGATGTAGAACTTTTTAAACTTGACTTTCTTGCTTCTGAAGGAATGTGATTCTTGTCAAAAGTTAAATTTTTTATGCTCAATTTTCTTGGTGTTCCAGAAGCGGTAGTAATATCAGTTTTGTCAAATGTGGAATTTTTAACACTCGATTTTTTTTTGCTCTTGCTGTCTTTTTCAAATGTAGTATTCAAGGGCGTGTCTACAGGGACTTCTATTTCAAATGTTGTGTTAACTTTCTGGTTTTCTGATGATTTACCAATAATAATTCCTGGATCTTTGATGTGTTCTTTTAGAGGGCTGCCAGCAGCGCTGTGAAATGAGTCTATAGAAATATTACTTTTGTTTACGTCTGTTTTAGTGAGTTTTGCGCTTGAATTTGAGTGCTTCTTTGTTTTGTTTGACTTTTTGGACGATTTTTCTGTCACTACAGCTTCTGTATCATTCTCATTTAAGCTTTCAGTATGACTTCTTTTCTTTTTCTTACTTTTCTTATTTTTCTTTTTGTCTGGAGCGCCTGTAATATCTTGGTCCCCAACAGAAACATCTTCAGGATTATTTTCAGCCAATTTCCGCGTCTGTCTTGTAACTCTGTTAGGTTTCTTTGTATCTATAACAATATCTTCAAACTCAGCATTTTGAATGTTGATATTTTGCTCCTTAAGAGTATTTCGACGTGTTTTTTTAGTGCTCCTGGCATCATTAAGCCTTGCATCACCTACATGCTCGTCGTCTGTAGGGTAAGAAACGTAGTTTTCACGTTTTGCCGGCTTCGGCATAGTCACGTCCATTTGGTCATTTATTTCCCTTAAACGTTTGCTACGAGTCTTTCTTACGCTTTTAGTGATGAGGTCTGGCTCAAATGTCACAGTATCATCGTGAAATGAATTGTGAATACCTGAAAATGCAAGGGTTTCACACAGTTACAACACTATAAATATTTTTAATATCTTGCAGAGTACAAGGCAATTTATATTATACTTACGTCTTCCAGAACGTGTAGACATTTTAAAATGAAGTTATAAGTTATCAACTCAATACTTCAGAACTCACTGTTTACAATTACAACACAACTGAACACAACATTATTCGTATTTTCCGTTTAACGTTTAAATTTGAAACTTGCGTTTGACTTGACAGTTGCTCAGTCAGTCTTTTGAATTAATGCATAAGTGTGACAGAATGTCGATATCTTTTGTTTCTTTTACTCGACGCGTTTTAAGAAAATTCTTTACACGCCACGATGTGTATAGAAATTAAATAAAGTATTTACTACTGAAAAAAGAACAAAAATAATATTTTTGACGTGTAAAAATTGAAGTACATTGAATGTATGTAATATAGTACACACATAAAGATAGTTTGTAAATCTTTGTGTATTTTTTTTATTTCGTCGCGTTGACGCTATAATATCCATTGCGTATAAAGAATCAAAACCATAGACTACCCAATCAAGATTCCATAAACTATATTCCCCGTTTAGTGCTTGAAATGAAAGTGTGTACGGAGCAGTTGTGAATATCTGTTACTCTGTTTTATAGAACAGAACCCGACTACGATGATGGCAAGTAGAAACGTTTGTTTTCTATAGATTGAAAGGTTGAGAAATATCAATATAAAAACCCATTGTAAGCAGCGAAAAAGTTACAGATTATAAATAAAAGTAAAACATTTAGTTATATAATTTCATCAGAATAATAAACCGCAATAAAATAAAATGTAAATTTAAATAATATATAATTGCATTAGAGTACGAAAATCAAAGGTTTAGCAAGAGTAAACCTTACACGGAATGCGTTTATTGAAGTTTCCTTTTGTTAAAATAAAAGATTAAACAAACCAAAAGAATCAAGAGCTGATATCATACGTTACATACAACAAACGTGCGTTTCCGTCGTTTTTAAATCCTAAGAATTCACTGGGAATATGTTGGGTGACACACGCGCTGAAATGCTACAAAACGCCCATGAAGATATGGCTGAGCTGTAATTCTCAGCTTTAGAAAGATTTAGAAAATCCTTTTCATTGTTGGTAATTCAATAAAAATAGCTTTGTTTCTTAACACTTAATGATGGCTTCTGAAAGGTTATAATTATAAACTTGTCTGTCACTTTTACGTTAATAATAACGTATGTGTCTATTTAATTTATGTTTCAATTTTACAATAAAAGCTCCAGTTTCATTCCAGTACTCCTATATCTTTCACAAATTACATCTTTCTTTAAAATATATCGACGCTCAAGCAGTAACAAAAAAATTTACTAACTAGCTAACTCCACCAATACAACTCTTTTCAAGTAGATCTCTACTACTAGATTAACTCCTATATTCACATAGCACGCTAAATGCTAAATTTGTATAGCGCGCTATTTAAAGTGCTAAAATTATAATTTTTAGCAGCTCAAGGTCGTGTGATAATGTAACGAATGGAGAGAAACGTAAAATAGTTATAGTGACGTGCGCTAACTTGTTAAATAAAAATAAAAAAAAAATAAAATAAAATAAAATAAAATTCATTTATTTCGGGCAGCAAAAACCCATATTATAGACAATACATTCACTACATATTACATTATTATTACCTGAAATTTAATGCATAATAAAAATAAAATTTACAAAATATTACAAAACACAAACTATCATTATAAAATTATTTAACTTATGAACTACGTGTTTGAAACAACATGCAGGCGACAAGCTTGGTTCATATATGGACAGTCGAACCTGTCCGCAATCATGCGCATGATGGTGTTGGGGCTGACCCGTACCCTACTCACCAGTGCCAATGCGCGTTTGCGCATGGTTGAGTAAAAACAGTCGACGTGAGCCGCTGCGAACATGCCCGAGGCGCTGCAGTATCGGGGCAGCCCCATCAACACCCTAAACGCATTATTGTATTGGACACGGAGGGCCCTATATGCCTTCTGAGAGTACGTCTCCCACAGGCTGCATGTGTAGAAGGAAGTGCAAAATGCTAAATGTTAAGTATAGCGTCTATGGTCTATCTATAGAATAGTTTACAGTTTTTTTTAAGGTTAGTTACGACCGACTTCATTTGTTTTGTAACTATTACATAATATGGTGGTTACAGGTTATAAACGATAAATCAATGAGCTTCCCTTCATACTTTAACAATTTGCTATTTACAATTTGCACAAAACTTTACATTGTTTATTCACAGTAAATTACACTCATAATAATTAATAATAACGCTCACATTCGTACTTAAATATACAAACATTGCAACGACTAATTAATTAAACAAACGCTAAACTAACTAAATAAATCCAAGTAATTAATTATATCTTAATTTAAATCGCCTCACCAGACGAAATTTTGCTAACGTTCCACTATTAACTCAAAATTGTATTAAAAAGTAACCAAAATTATAATTTATAATATACTTTACTATTATAATATAGCTAAGTGCTAAATATAGCATTAGCGCTTAGCGTACTCAAACGTGAAATTTAACATCAATAAACCAATTGCGTTTCGCACCAAACGTTAAATGCTACAAATAATATGTGAAAGTATTTCACGTTATAATTGTTTCAACCAATGACAAGAGCCGCAATTTTCACATAGAATATAGTGCCATCTACGAAATATTAAGGGAGATAGGTCAGGACGCAGAAGGATTTTGTTTGTTAGCTGCATAAGTAAAGCACGGCTATTCGTGCTTTACTCAACATCATGCCATACCATCAATCTATATTGATGGTATGGCATTGAAATATTGTAAAATTATGTCGCTAGATCTCATTTGGTTTAATTTTCTTAACGTACTCCAATCCAAAGTGAAAAAAGTTCGTTATAATTTTAGCACCTTTGTGTCTTTCAAATTATAATTGCTATAATTATTTTTTAATTTAACGTTATAATTTGAGCTATATATTATGTTAAACATCTCTATTTTTAAGTGCCGTGGCTACCAAATTAGAGTTTACTATTGGCTTATTAGTATATTGGCGAAGTTTCAAAGTATAAATATTTTTTGTACCAATAATAGTTACTTTTCTACTTTCATTTTCAACCAAATAAATACTCATGAATCAATTCGCAAAGGCATCACTAATACTAAACGTCACAAATTACAACAATAAATAAACGTGCATCGGTCAGTGAAGCTCAACCAAAAAATCATCGATTAAACAAAATTTTACCAGGGAAAAGGAAAGAAATATTACTCTAGTTGTATAAATATTTGCCGCAATAAAAATAAACATGTTTATTTGGCGATTCAAGTGAGATATCTTAGTGAAAATAAAATAACGGGCGTCAACTGAATGTCAAGTGCCTATGACTCAATAAAACGGCTTTAACAATGGGACAAGTGCTGTACTCTTTTACGGTGTTATTTTTATGCATAAACCTCTGTTTGGCTGACAGGGGAGACTATATTGGCTGCTACAAGTTTAGGGTTGAGAATCTGTTGAATACACACACAGGGCAGTCGGTAGACGTGTGCTTATCGGCGTGTGAGCAGGTTTACTATAAATACGCTGTAATAGGCAACCAATCCACTTGTTTCTGTGGCAATACGCCTGGAATATTCAAACTTCCCACAGAATCTTGCCAAACTCCGTGCCCAAAAAATGAAACTCAGAAATGCGGCGGCGACAGCGCGGCGAGCGTTTATGATACGGACGTGACCGCGCCTGGCGAGCCAACTTCTTTAGAGATCGTTAATGTAACGGAGACCACAGTCAGAGTCCGCTGGACACCACCGGAAGCATATTCTATCATTACTGGGTATGTCTTAAGAGCTAAAGTTGAAGAAACTTTTGCAGATTTCGTGTTAAAACCAATAGAGTGGAGAGTATCAAATGACACACTTCAATATGAGCTTCTAAACCTCCACCCAGGCTCTACATACTCAATAAGTTTGGCCGCAGTTAATGATATTGAAGAAGGCCCAAATAGAACAGCTCATTCTGAAACTATTATTGGCACACCAGATCCCAGTCCTCCAGACATACAGACCAAAGAACGCCGCGGTGATCGGATGCTCGTTCATATACCAGAAGCTAAGAATGTAAATGGCCCAGTGTCTATGTACCGTATTGTAGTCTCCATAGAGTTGTATCAACAAGGATTTATCACAGAAACCCTAGGAAATTACACTTATGCAGAAGAGCAAGGTCTTCCATACTACATAACAGCTGAATTAGACCCTGAAGACATAAAATCGGACTTTATTATAGGGGATAGAAGTACTTATAATGGCTTTTACAATGCACCTTTGCCATTGACTAATGATATTGATGTATCTCTAGGAATAGTAAGCGAAAAGGGTCATTTTAAGAAGATCAGATATGCAGAGTCAACTAAGAAAATAATTTTAAACATAAATGAGCCAGAGGAAATATCTCCCATGGTGGTTGCTTTAGGTGCAGCTATAGCTATTGGTGTTGTACTTTTGCTCATTGGCATTGGGCTACTTATAATATTAAAAAAGAAAATACACATGGCACGGTTGCAAAGAGGTTCACAGTCTCTCCCACTTAGTCTAAGTGAACCGTGTATTGAAATTGAAAACTCCGGTTTTCTACAAGATCAGGAAGAAAGAATCGATTACTATGGAAACTTGAAACGCAAACTCTGGAACATACCACGGAATCTTCTAGAAATTGACATATCTTGCGTTGTTGGCTTAGGGAGTTACGGCAAGTTTACTAAAGGCAAAGTCCAACAGCATGGTGCACAGACCCCTGGATTAGTGCAGGTAATATCAGACAGGGAGTTAGAAAGGCCTGACAAGAAACTTATGTTACAGGAATTAGATTTATTAATAAAATCAAGTGAACATGAAAACATAGTCTCTCTTCTAGGAATCTGTGAAACAAACACTACACTATTTGTGGTTCTACAAGATAGTAAACAGTCTCTTAAAGAGATGTTACTGCAGAGTAGACTTAGAGACTTGCAAAATAATAAATTCTGCCTTATCACTGAAAACAAAGTTCTGCAAATCTGTGTAGACATTGCACGCGGTATGGAGTACTTGCATAGTAAGAAAATAATACATAAACGTCTTGCCTGTCGCAATATTGTATTTAGCGACTCGGGAGTCGCGAAAGTATCAGGATATGGACTTTCTCATATAAGACCATTACACGAGGCTCCGGATTATACGAGATGGACATCACAAGAAATGCTCAGACAGAGCAGGTTTAATCCGAAAGCTGATGTATGGTCGTACGGTTGTCTTGTATGGGAAGCTTTAACAATAGGTGCCACACCATACTATCATTCATCGAATAAAGAGGTTGCAGCTAGAATTCTGAGAGGAATGAGACCATCACAACCTTCTTATGTTGGTGACGAACTTTTCCAACTGTGTTTACAATGTTGGCAAGTGGATCCTGATGAGAGACCGTCTTTTACGTCTCTTCTTCATGAATTACGGCCGTTTGCCGAAGGTCCAGGCACTAGAAGTTTGAGCTTCACTCATTACAATGGCTTCGACTTTGAACCCCACATACCACAATATGAAATTATTTCATAGTTATCTATGGTCTAAACTATTACATACAATTGGGACTTTCTTGTTGTAGAAGTGCATTTTGCAGCTATATTAGTAATATTTTGTAAGTAATTAATTAGACAGAATGCTTAGTGATGTAGTTCATAAGTTCCAAAGACATTAATCTTGTGGCTTTGCCATTTTCTAACCACCTTGATACAAATTTTGCATATAATTGGCAACTTTTGTTACCTTTGTGTAAAGTACAGAGAATGTTTGATCTGATCAGTGAAGTCTTAGTATTGTATCAAATGTAACTCTTGCCATCGTGGTAAAAGGATTCTCGCCGATTATTGCCCATTCAGGAAAGGAATGGTATGTTGTGTGGGGAGGCTTCTTTCGTGCACTCCAGTGAAATAGTCGTATTGCGCCATTAAATGTATTATTCTTGTCTTTGAAGTCAACAATATTTATATAGATTTTACTAAACATTAGCATAAATTTTCTAAATATGTATAATGAGTGTTTAAGTAAGTATATTATAATCTTGTTATGCAACTTTGATCTCGTGTTGTGAGAATCTCAAGTTACACAGAAAACCAGTGTAAATTTAAGCAACAGCGTAGTGCTAAGATTTCTATTATAATGCTTAATCTACATGACTACCGAATTTAAAAGTTGTTTATTGCCATGAGAACTTTTTTGTAGATTTTTTTAAGGAATGATTGTACAATGTCATTGTTGACCATGAGTTTTTTGAGCACGTAATCTCGCACAACTAATGTCGCATTATGAATAAGAATAAAAACAGCAGTACATAGTTGGATGAAATAATGTACATAATTATATTCAAAGTTTATTTGAAACTGTGACTATAGTGCTGGCACAAGCTAGCTTTCTGCTTCGGGCTACCCGGCACTAGTCAGCGCTGCTCCAGCGAGTGTATTACACAAAATATGTGTAAATGGGACATCCAGATTAGTGTTCTTTCCGTAATTTCCGTGGCAATTTTTATTATTTAAGTATGTTAAGTAGTAGAACTGGTCGGAGGTTTGAAAAAATGTTTTAAGCCGTTTTTTTAGTAAATTATGCCATCACATCGGGGTCCTACTGATGTATGCAGATTCTATATGCCTCCGCTCGCTGCACTCTTCACATGTGCCCATCGCTTCGTCCGTGTTTTCATACAATGGCCGTTTTTATAAGTTATGACGTAACCTTTTTTGAGGATATCTTCGTGAGACATGTACGCCAAGATCAAGTTTTCCTCCACGTCTGTGTAAGTATAAGTAAGTTTGTGATTGTATTCTACTAACCATCTTTTCCATATAACCAAACGCAACATTCCAAAACGCTCTCTTTTTACAAAGTCTCACAAACTATTTTTTAAGACTTAAATGTTTGTTATATTAATAAATCGGCACATGACGTCAGTTATACTGCCGTAACTCAAAACTGTGGAATTTAGAAAACACGATTTGTAAGTTCAAAAGCTTACTAAATGAAACCAGTCAATATCTATATGTTAAATATTATGTATAAATAAAAATAATCACATTATTATTTTAATTTTTAAATCGTGTTTTCTCAGTTCCACAATTTGAGTTATTACAGTATTTATTTTCAAGTGAGAAATATACCTATTATCTATTAGCGATCACCTCCGTGCCAGTGGCCCAACGGTTTACCCTGTAGATACTGGACATTGGAGGCTACGGGGTTCGAATCCCAGAGAGGACCAATTTGGAAATTTTTCTAAATTGGTGCTGGGTAGTAACTTCGAGTGAACTCCGTTTCTCTAGTACAGGCAATCTCTTGGTTTGAGACCAAGAAACTCGTGTATTTGTTTGGCACATTATTATACATAAATAAGCGTAACACTGATGCTGATTGTACAAATTTTATTGTCGAATGAAAGTGCACCTACTACGCACCCCTCATGGAAGAATGGCATGAGCGGAGTTACGTCAAAAATGTTTATTGTTCCATTGGATACAGAAAAATATAACTCATTTCCTCTTTAATTCTTATCAACAATATTAGTCGAGATGGGGGTTATATTTTTTGTATCCAATGGAGCAATAAACATTTTTGACGTAACTTCACGTATGACATTCTTCCATGAGGGGTGCGTATAATTATGTTTTAGCTTTCTTTTTAATATTTTAATGTTGGATTATCTTGACCCGATTCATAGAAAGCATGTTCTGAGAGAGTAGCTGGTGAGAAATTCTGGGAGAATCTTAGATTTTCACGAATCCTATGCATTGGAAATGAAATTGTTTTATCGGATCATAAATCGCGTGCATATTTTTTTCAAACAAAAAACTGTACGGGCGCCTTCCATGTTCACGGCTGGCCAATCCATAGATACGAAGAAATAGTTTTTTAATTTCCAAACTTTGTCTAATACATTTCGAATCTGCCTTTTACGAATTTGGACGTTTGTAATAACACCTAGTATCTTGTGAACATGGAGAATAGTTACAGTGGCAGGTCTACGTAACGTAGGCGCAATTTTAGCAACGAAATTTGTACATAGCTTAATTGATTTTAATGTAAATTGCATGACGTACATACTACATATAATACGATACAGTTGCTGAGACGCGCGACCTGTTTTTTGGGTCTAGGTTGTACCTTACACAATTGACAAAAAGTAGATAACAAACATTCGTTTATATTCTGTACCGCTGGAATGTATATTGTGCCTAAAGGTAAACATTTATTTGAATTCATAACATTAATGTTACGTATTTATACAATATTGACTTGTTTTTTTGTATATTTCGACTATGTTATTATATTTTGTCGTGTATTGTGCATTTAATCCGTCCAGTTATTTTTTTACTGAATCTCTTTAAGGTTTAGTGTACGTACTTAAGTTAAAGTAGGTACTCATTTATACAAAAATCAATTTTTTAAATAAAGAACTGAGAATATTCGTTTTTTTATTTAAGTAATGTATGCGTCGTAGGATGTATTTATTATTAGGGTCGCTTCACTCGGGGCCTATAAGGCCCCTCATCACTTGCGACGATTGACAGATCTATTGTGATCGCCACTAATTGCAGTTCGGAGCTAAGGCCAACAGCATTAAAGAACTGAAGGACTTTCCTGGCTCCGACAGGTTTTATGTCCTCTGGGTGTGGCCTCTGCCTACCCAGTATGGAACTTTGTACGCCCATTAGAGGGCAGCACTGGGTGAGGAGATGCACAGGAGTTTCATCCGCCTCGTGGCAGAATCTACATTCTATTTTTTCTCTGCCCAATATTTGACATGTGCTTGTTCAAGCCACAATGCTATTCCTGTCAAGTGACAGAACTTCCCTACAGTGTTTGGCACTGAAGGCAGCTATCAGGGCTTTTGAATGATCACGACCTTTAGTCTGCACAGCCACAGGTCTTGGGACACGTGTGTGCTCTCGTTCAGCAGAGTGAGTACAGTTAACCAAGTACGTAATTAATTACACCCAAGGTTAGTGACAGCCAACTGCTCCAGTCAATTAATCTGGCTGAGACGTGAACTCTAACCGTTGACCCCTAAAGGAGGCAAGTTCACTGAACCGCTGTTAAGTTCAAAAGAAATTGGAAGTAATAATGGATAGATTTTGCTACTCTGCAAGTCTAGTGAAGGTTACCAAAATTGTGCCAAACAACTGCGCTTGTGTTGTATTCTTTTGCTGTTCATTTTACCATCCACTCTCGGTATAAAATTAATATAATAAATAACACAAACGCAACTACAGTCGCAAACACCACCATCAAAATGATACCCAACACGTGTTTCGCCTCCCTACGAGGCATCCCTAGAATGCTTCATTCTTAAGTGTACGCGGCCACGGATGACGCAGTCAAGGTAGCAACATAATTATTTAAAGTTAATATAGTCCTAAAAGAATATAACTTTTTTATAAAAAAACCGACCTCAAAAGTTCGTGGAACTCTATCTATTTGCCAAGTTTTATTGGAACCGGTTACCGGAAAGTGCGCGAAACCGGATTCATCCCCTAGTTTGCCACCCTTACAGGTGGAATGTTTCCTTCAAATTTAAATGGAACCAATACTGAGGTATTCTCCTTCCAACATAAAAAGAATCACCAAAATCGGTTCACAAATGAAGTGTGACTGTAGTTGCCATAGATCGTAATTGCGCTTGTGTTATTTATTTTATGCGGAGGGACGGTGGGATACTTAACTGCATGAAAAAATATTCAACACAAGGGCAGCTATTTTGCACGATTTAACCTTCCCTGGGTTCGCGGAATAGCAAATTAATTTACTTCCATTTTTATTAACATGAACTTCCGCAAAATAACGCCTGAATCTATTAATTACTTAATTTACTTCCATTTTTCTTTACATAGATTTCCGCAATATAATGCGTGGCAATATATTTAAAGTAATTTTTGTTTAGCATATTTTAAGCTACAGCCTGTATCAATGTCTTAATACCCAGTATTAATGTTTTTCCTGTCAATGCACGATAACAATGATAAAATATTGTCATCAATTTTTTTCGGAAGTCTTGTAATTGACGGCAGGTGTAAACTGAAGCGTAGCAATTGCTGCTGAGGCTCCATCCATTTCCTTTGCACCATAATATATTCCGCTCTTATGTATTGTAGAACTTTTTGTAGATGTACAGTCGAATTGAGAACCTCCTCCTTTTTTTAAAAAAGGTTATAATTTAATTTATTTAAACGTTTTGTGTTTTTGTCACAAGCGCCCTTTCAACTAACGGCGGCAGCATTGTCGACTGGTGGCCAATGTGGTATGGATCTTGATTACTTACTTGTGGCGTCACCATTGCCACTCACTTTTTTCCGACAATATTGTTCGACAAGCCACGTACCTGATAGTTAATAGCGAAATTCATTGCGAAAAAAGTGGTCGCCGTATCGCTTATAAATTCCTATTTGTACATTTAGTAGCAGTAGGTACCTAGAACTCCTTGTGAAAGAGCTCGACCAGGGAAGTACTGCCACCTTACCTATTTCTGCCGCCAAGCAGTAACGTCACCATTACTGTCTTCCGGTTTTGAAGCGTACAGGTGCTGGTGAAATTACAGGCACATGGAGCTTATCAACTTATATCTCAGGGTGACAGCGCAGTGGCAGTGCCCCTCAGATCTTTGCGATTTTTTGCTCTTCGTCCCTTCACTTGATAAAAACATGACCTTGTTTTAGTGAAATACTCCATAATGTTATCGCGATTCCTTAACTATGCGTTTCTTTTCAAGTACCTAGGTACTTATAAGTATGTTATCAATATCTTAATCTGCAATATTCAAAAAACGGCAAATCTGCTCCTTTATTTTCCGGTAATAGATAGTATAATAATATTAATTACTCTATTTCCTGAAAACATGGTGTAGCACTGTGCTACATGAAAAGAAAAATAGTGCCATGCCGTAGGTACAGTCACGTTTTGCATATTAAATATCATGCAAATGCCTAGCCATAAAATGTTAATTTCCCTACTATAACAATAACGTTTATATAAATTCTCCTTTGTCTTTCTGTTAGCTCAGTGGCTCAGATGGTTAGAGCAATGCTATGGTGCAGCGTGGTCATGGCTTCAAGTCCCAACGGTCCATAATCATAATAAAACTAGTGGAGTTATTTTACAAAAAAATCTCAATAAAATACTTTAGTGTTCTTATTCCGAAACACATGGTTGTAATATAAATGCGAGATTTACCTAACATGAATTAATCATTCTGGCTTTTAACTGTCGCATATTGGTCACGGTTCGATACAGTTGACCTTCAAAACCAAACTTCATTCATGCGGCACAAAATAGTTACATACGTTTTTGTTGAGGCATCTTCATTGGGTTTTATGAATAGGTACTGCAGCCTAGGGACGTAGCGAGAGGTACTTTATAAATAGAACCTGGGATTATCTTCATAACTAGATATTTATTGTGTTTTTCACATATTCACTTATGGAGGCTACTTCTAGATCTGCCAAGATGTTCTTCTTTTTTATCCTATTTTTTTAAACACATTCTAAATAGAAATCTATATTCACTCAGCCAGTACTTCTACTCATAGAGTAGAGCCTAGACTACAGTACCTACTTAAGTATGTAAAGGTAAACGGTTTTCACGGTCAACGTATTGTCTTTGAGCGTGGGGACACGGCTCGGTTGCTCCATTGTAAGGTTTGTGTTTCCTGTATATAAATTGAATGTGTACGAATGAACTTGAAGTCGCCTTCTATGAGTTGGGAATAGAATCCGATACACAGTTACTACATTTTATTATCATATGCTCCCTGCATCATACTTAATATAACACACTCAACATAGCCCCGCACTAGGGAAACCCTGTGTCGCGGGTGCCATGGACACACACATAGACAACCACAAATTACACCCAAACTTACGAGAGAAATAAATGTAGGCCATACAAATATTTCTCTCGGCCCGGGAATCGAACCTGGGAGGCAGTTAAATATAATAATGTCATTCATTTTCTTAAAATATTAAAGTGCAAGTTTGTAGTTACTATCACAACCTTACTTATTTCTACCGCCGAGCAGTAATGTGAGCTTTTCTGCGTTCCGGTTTCGAAGGGTGGTGGTGAAATTACGGGCACATGGCACTGAACTTATATCTCAGGGTGATGGGCGCAATGGCAGTGCCTAATATCGTTGCGATTTAAAGCCCTAAGTGGCACTTGTTATGGCTAGACATTGTCGCTTACCACCAGGTGCATTTCGTTCGTCTCGTCATTCTAAAAAAAAACACAAATAATATTATCTCGGTATTTAGTGAAATTACAGGCACATGGGACTTTGACTTGAGCATGGACGTGGGTTCGAGTCCCACAAAAAAATGTTTCCGTGTGTTTGATCTTTAAATTCATAATCATAACACATGGGACTTGTCAACTTATTTCTCAGGGTGACGGGCGCAGTGGCAATGCCCCTCAGCTCTTTGCGATTTAAAGCTCTGATTGGCACTGCAACTGTTAAGGACAGGCGTATAGCTTACCAATAGGCACGACTTTTTCGACCCGTCACTACATATGTACAAAAAAAGAAAAATAATCCAGTTTTCCGAAACAATAAAAAAATTTCCTCGTGCTAATCTTATCTCCTAAATAAAAAGTAGTATGTGTAAAAATGTTAATTCATTATTATGACATTTTTATTGAATTGATATTCAATTATTTTTTATGTGAAATTATTCCAGTAGTTGCAAAGATCGAACACTCAGAAAAAATACCTTCGATCCGGCCGGATTCGAACCGACGTCTTCTAGCATACCGTGCCAGACGCTATACCAGCTAAGCCATGGAACGAACCACCGGACCTCACGAATTTTTCTATGTGCTTGTTGTCGTGTCTCTGTATTTGGTTTTTCAACGACTTTTTAGGCGTAGCGACATCTATGAAAAATCTATGAAAGTATTTCGTCACCCAGTTAGATACCTTTACAGCTACCAGCCCCGGCTAGAGATGTCGCTTTCATTGTATTTAAATTTTTATTGAATTGATATTCAATTATTTTTTATATGAAATTACTCCACTAGTTTATTATAATTATTAATACAAAGATCGAACAATCACAAAAAAATCGTTATTATTGTTAATACAAAGACCTGCGACCGCGCCAAACCAGGGTGACCCTCTGCCAACTGAGCTACAGGTCGTATTGGCTTTTTTCGGCTTTTTAACGCCGCATGTGACACCTTGTGAGAGACTTATGAAGCTTCTCAAATTCATAGGACACACACATAGACAACGACAAATTACACCCAAATTCACGAGAGAAAATAAACGCGTCCATACAAATATTTCTCCCGGCACGGGAATCGAATCCTGCCACAGAAGCAGTTTGAATATCGCGTGGATATCGTGAATATCAGTGTGAATATCTTGGAGGAGTCCAGTTTTTATTTTGCCAAATTTTTTTGAACGATACCACACATATAAGGCAGACATATCTGTCGAAAATAGGGTGTTGTACATGCACATCACTTATGCCTTACAGAGAACCGGATGATTTACGTGCAAACGTGCTGATCCGGGGTTAGGACCTGACTTAGATGGTCCCTGTGCGGGTTCGTTCGCGCAGGTCATAATGCCCTTCCCGTATAACCAAGAGGTTGATAGGGAGGGGCAATATAAACAAAACTTATGTAGAAAGATATGGGACTGTTCACATTAATTATCCTTATGCAGTGGCGGATTTACAGTCTTAGCCACCAGCAGTACCAGCATCCGGTTCAGTAGTTTTCGACTTTATCGCCATCAGACAGACAGACAGAGCAGTCATGTAGTGATTATACATTACATTATATATATGCAACAAAACTATATTTTATACATAAAATGTACGCTGTTATACGTTGCGGTGTAGTGCTGGCCATCATAATGTGCGAGCGCCTTTAGAATATTTAGGTACTTTGTGTTATTTCTTGCTACCAGTGAATGTTTTACCAGCCCCTAAAATTTGGCCGCCCTAGGCCCGGGTCTACTGGGCCCCAAGACAAATCCGCCACTGCCCTTATGTCTTCAAATCTGTGGCACATTTTTGCAGGTCAAAGATACTAAGGCATTCCCACAAAACTTTCTTATTGGATGGAGCTTTTGTTACAGTGATAGGGTTCATGGGGATACATAGGAGGAATCAATTTATAGATAGCTACTGAATGAAACAACATATTTTAATTTTTCGCATTTATTTAATGTTAATATAATATAGACAATGTTCAAGGTACCTTTTAATTGGTTTCGAGCTTTATAACACTAAGACCTTCCATTTTACCTCTTATCGTTACAACATCGCAAAATAACACTTCATTACAAAATCAATATCGACAATACAACTAAATAGAATTAACATTTGACTAAAATATAGCGAATTTAATTCAAAAAATTATTCAACATTTTCAAATTCAAACTTAATTAAAGATTATTTCTCGTAATAACATTGCAGACCCGTCGTAGACCGAGTTAACAGAAATCGTTATACACGTTAATCAAAATAAAATCCATCACTGAACTGTACAGCAACAAATGTCAACTCGTCGACGTACGGCGACGTACGGTAACGTACGCGACGTACGCGGACCGAGCCGGTGTCTATACATACTTATAATACGCAACAAGTTATAATTCAATAGAATTAGTATAACATCAATCTCAACATGTGTAAAGGTTGATGAGACAACGACTGACTGAACGGCCGTCGGGACGCGCCGACACGCTCTGCCCCGGCGGCGCCGGCGCAGCCAGCCCTTTTTACGCGCGTTGATCAATCAAAGTCCGGAATAGGTGCACAAGGCCACCTCAGCCTCGCCTCGGACTGCGCCAACCCGCATATCACCGACGGAGATATCAGCCATTACTCCCGACGATGACGGAAGCGGAAACTGCCACTGCATAACCGTCAGCCGGACAGAACCGAGCTATGGCGAACTTTGGGAAGGATCTACGTCTTGTATTGGTGTACTTATTGTCATATGGCATGTTGTTGTGAAATTAGAGGTAACGTAAGTTCAGTGCGCCACGTGACAGTTGCCGTCGTCGGGAGTGGCGAGGCGGGGCGGGGGGCGGGGCGGGGAGCGGCGCGCTCGACGGCCTCACTCTGTACACCCGCGGCGCGGCGGCGGAACCGCCTGAACGCGTACGACGCGATTCGCGCGCGAGTGTGTCGCGGGAGTCGCACACGGCTACGTCCTTGCGGAGACCGAAACATGAAACCGAGTGAACGTTTTAATGATAAACAATTAATTAATATGTTACAACTCCCTACGGCGGGGACGCGTTCGTGACGATGTCAATATGCGTAAGTTGATTCCTCAGTCTTAATAAATTGATGACAATGAGCAAGGAGAACGTAAATGAAGTAATGCTATGCAATTATGTACAGGTTGTGAGTCGACGCGTCGTGTTCGAGCCGCGGGTACAGTCGCGGAGAGGCCGACGGAGGCGCGCGGGGCCGTGTGCGACCCTCGCCCTGCCGGACGAGCGCATGGTGACGTCTTAATGTTGAGTTCGACTTGAACGCACAGCCATTTTCCTAAACACAGTACCGAACCTTACTCTAGCCTAGCGCACCCAACGGCTGCCACCTCTTGTATACCCACTAAACTACCTACAGTAATTACAATAAACCACTCTATCAACGAAGTCAACAACATTTAGCTATTAAAATTAAAGGGAGGACGCGGCCGGGGCCGGGCGGCGTCCGCCGCGGCTTCTCTCCGCCTCCACCTCACCCGAATCCGTAGAATGAAGAATGACAACTAGCTACCTTACGACCTACGACATCGAAACCTTAACGTGACGCGAGAGCGGGTGGTGCGCGGCAGCGGCGAGCTGCGGGAGGGGGCGGGGTGCGGGGTGCGGGGGTGCGGGACCGGCGTGCGGGAGATATCACAGAAACAGTACGCGACTTTTCTTTCTGCGTCGTGCGAGTGCGCGGGCGCGAGTGTCGGGGCGTTGCACTAACTTTCCTACGCGATAAACCGCTCGTGTGTACCGCACTAAAATTAACCGTTTTGTATCCGCGACGATATACTCTCAAATATTGTAACAATTTCAGTATAACAACGTTAACATTTTTCCAGTTACTTTTAATTAAAATTACTTATACGTACCCATTATAATGATTTTTAATTATGATAATTATAATTAACTAGAGTTCCATCGATAACTAATGGTTAAGTAGAGGGCGAGCGCGCGGCGTCGCGTGTTTCCGTGCGGCGAAGAGAAGAACTTTCATTGCCTCGTGACAGATTTCGGATCCTGAGGGGAACTTTCGAAAAGGCGAGCTCGGCGGACGAGGCGGACGAGGCGGCGCCGAGCGCTGTCCCGCCGGGACAATAGCCTACAAGTGGAAAGATATCCCTACCCCAAAGCTCGCCCTAACTGAAAACGCGACTCGAAAACTCCAAGTGAGGGACCGTTAATTGACGATTCACTTACACGTATCGACTAATCAAGAATTAGTTTCAATAAAATTGAGCTTGTAAAATCGACGTCCACAGGCTTTGCGTCGGAGGGCTTCCGCCACCACGTCGGGTCCGCCGCGACTCCGCTGCCCGCTGACCGACGTAACCTTCGCCACTGTAGCAGCAACGTACAAGCGGAAGAGGCGCGGGGTCGCGGCGGCTCCCGTTTAATTGACACAAGACGATATCTGTAACTACCCCCAAATATTCTAGAAAGATGAGAAAGTCGAAAAACACCGGAAAGGTCGAACAGTGATACCTATAAAGATTGAATATACAATAACTAGCTACATTAATGCATCTACACTGCGCATGTTACCTACATAACACGTAATAGACCAGTAACAATACCACAACAGTTATCGAGATATCGTTGGACAGTTGGAGACTTACAACAAAGTTAATGTACTTTCACATTCTCACGGAAGTACTAAGTTATGGCGGCTTAATGACCGTCAACCGTAATGAAGAATCTATACGAGAAAACTTTCAATTCCTTTTCTTACAAACTACCGTAGTTTAAGCCGATTCGAAATATATTTATTATGTTACGTTGCATTTGTACTTCTTTCCTCGTGTGATAAGCGTTCGGCAAAAGTGGCGCCCGACGCGGGGCCGCCACGACGTCTGCGATGGCACTTGTGAGGTAACCGAGCACTACTAAAACTATCCCGCGAGAGTTAGACGGCCCTACTCTACGTTAGACTGACACCGAGTACCTTGAAAATGTCGACGAAACGATCACAGTTTACATATGTACATCTCTACAGAGACGAGACGAACTTCCTAGATGGCGCATTAAAAATAAATTCAAATATATAGTAACTGTAAATAAGATTTATCATATTGTCATCTCGAATAATATATAGAAATCTGTTTTAAAACTTTTAAAATATATTTCTCTACTACTCTGGACATGCATCTCTTTATATTAAATTGTACTTATAATATCGTAGAGACAATTTAGCCCGAAACGAAACGATCACGAACGTTCCTAACGAAAAGCAATAATTATAAATGTATAAAAAATAAAGATCTTTACCGAGACAAATGAGGAATGCGAATTGCGAACCTAATCCAAGCGAAGTGACGACGTCGCATTGCAACTGCGTTGTACTTGCACATGTAACAGTTATAACTAACGACTTTGGTTGGGGCATCATTTGGATCCTGGCACCTGCCAGCGCCGCGAGTTCGGCGCCGGCGCCGGTCGTGATAGCGACAGATTTCACGCATATAATGTCAATATATCAACACATATACTTGTCTATATATTCAACTTTCATCTCTAACTCTAACGAACGTCACGTAAACTAAAATAACTTATCAATGGTAACATTTACAATGAAATCAACTTGGTAAATAAAATCGTATGCGTGGTGAACAATATACAAAAATAAAAATGTGTGTATGGAATAGGAATTTCCGTGATAGGACATATCACAATCGTTCTTAACGAGCCCGCTAGGCGGGCGAAAATAACTTCATTACGATAAAACATAAAATATGTTCAACACTATAGTACATGCGTTAAATCAATATACATAAATCTATGTATTTGTAAATAGGTACCTATATGTCGATGCGCGTCGTCGCCACTCGAGAAAGGTCGACGACCTCTGGCGCGGCGCGCATCGACTCACGTAGCGGTAAAACAAAACAACGTAAAACTCTTATAATAACTACACTCAGGTAACTGCGCCACTTCTTTTATTATCATATTTATTATTTGTCGGCCTCTGGTGCGGGTTGTTGACTAGAACTAGAGCTACGCTAGAGCTTTGACAGAGACCCTGAATCCCCACGACCGGAGGAAGGCGGGGCGGCCATTTTGTTTCTCACTTGCCACCATCGCGGCAGATAGCAGCTTCTTTCATTTATAGACAAACGCTTGATTACACGCACTGATTATTTTATCACTTTGCTACTATTGTTAGAACTGCCAATAAAATGTGCTGAATAAAGATGAATATAAGACATTTAAAACACTTTAATTAATTGTGATCGATCCAGTTATCGGTAGGCTCTAACACGGCCTTCGGAAGTTTTGAGAAGTGATGTATCTCATAAAACTAAAGCTGTTAAATGCACCTGCGACGATGATGACCAGTTCTCCAGGCAGTGTTGCAATGAGCTTATTTAAACATCTATCAACTGCCTTTTTTAATTTGAAAATCGCTGTCCTATTCAATATATTTAAAGTGCGAACCTTCGCGAAAACACTGTCAAAAAAGACAGTAACAATCAAAAAAACATTTCTAATGCGTAACCTTACCTTTTGTATTGTAATTTTTAATTATAAATTCAACAACGTAATTTACGAGGAGAACATTTTAAACTTGAACAATCTGTATGTAATAATAAACTGTAACTTGTTTTTGTGAACAAAATGCAAGGCTACAACAAACCGCGGGCTTGAAGAAACTCAGTAATACCATCCAACCGCGAACCAAGTTATTGCACTCAACCCAACAACGTGTACGTTTAAACGAAAAGTTCTCAACTTTAGCCCAATTTATTACAATTAACATTTACGAAAAAATACCTTAATTACTTATTTAGATTTTAAGTGAACCATTATTATTGTAATATTGCCACAACCCAGCCAAACAGTATTCTACTAGAGACCAAAATTGAGAAGTTTCGTAGTCAAAATAGCGTTCAACAGCCGGAACAGTTCAACGGGGACGATTGCACAACCGCGATCGAGAGATCACTGTTTGAACAATCCCGTTCGCTATGTACCGCGATCGGCTTCACAGATGGCACCACTGAGTCCCGAGCGGGCGAGGCGGTTACTGCATGAGCGAGGAGATGGCGTTGTGGCGGGTGCGCTTGAGCTCCTCCTCCTGGATCTTCTGCTCGATGAGGTACTGCGCGGACGAGATGGCGGTGGCGCTGCCGCTGATGGTGACGATGCGGTTGCGGGTGCCCGGCGCGAACGTGCCCTTCTTCGAGATCTGGATGTTGGCGCCCGACATTTGCTGGATCTCCACCAGGCTTCGTCCGCCGGGACCTGCGGTGGACATCGAGATACTTTATCGTCGTGCATCACTGAGTCACGCTATTCCTAGACAGCGATAACATACACCACAACTAATGGTTAGGAGTTAAATATCAAATAAAGTACTATCGGACACGAACTAAAGACGCTCGTGATCCTATATTCCTTTAAGTCTAAAATGTAAGGTCGGGTCGCACAGAGCGCCAGGAACACTCACCCAGTATGGCCCCGACGATGACCTCCGCGATCTCGATGTTCTTGGAGTCCTTGGCGCCGGCGTCGGCCGGCGTGGGGCTCTTGGAGAGCGGCAGCAGCGCGGCCGAGCCGAAGCCGGCGCCCACGCCGCTGACGCCCGCCGACAGCGAGATGGGCGCGACGGCTGCGGGCCGAAGCGCCTCGAATGCAACTTCCGCGAAACGCTCTAACCCGGCGCCCCCGCTCGCCCCACCACCTGCCACGCGCCCTGCGCACATCACTTGCAGTCCGCACCCCCGCCCCGCCCCGCCCCGCCCCGCCCCGCCCCCACCCCGCACCACATACGCGCGCTACATTAGAACGTTTCGCGCTGTTGCGCACAGAGATACGACAGCGAGCGTCCCCGCACAGCGCCCGACTCATTGGGCCCGAGAAGGTGATGCTAGTGCACGCTACGGCGTTGCTCTCGCAGACGACGGCGGCGATGGAGGTTACGTGAAGGTTAATCGACACTGCTACGCGGCGGCACGGTACGGTACATACATACGACTAATTATAAAGAGACAAATATACATATCACATGACGTGTCTTTTGCTACCACCTAGGCTACGATGGACAGTCGAGGAAATAAAAAGTACAGACAGAGTATAGAACATGCATTCGCACACTAGCATGACCTAAATGTGCGTAAAGTTCGTTGCGATTTCTTCTACTTCGGTAGCGCTGTGTTCGGATCGAGAAGAAGGCGATGGGAGAAAGAACAACTTTGCTTTGTTTATTATGGTTTTGTAAGTCTACTTGAGGATTTTGGAAACGTCGCGGTTGACCCCGAAATAGGCAGAGGTCAAATAATCAGTAAAGTCCAGTCCCGCAAATTTTTCTGAAAAGGGAAACGATTTTCCTCTTAGTATAGCTTGGCAAGTTAGCAGAGAGTGCTTTCCGTTTTTGTTACCATGTCAATGTGGAATTCCACTTCGTTATTGTGAGTAATATGGTGACTGATCCCAGAGTTCACATGAACGGTAACAAAAACAAGTGTAACACTCCCCGTTAACTTGTCAAGGTATAATAGATCTCTGTGGCGTCTCGTACACCTGTGGGCTTGACAAACTGGCGGCAAACGACTCGCATTACTATCGACCGAGTTGTCAAGCTTCACACCGAGTACACTTCAGGATTGTACTTTCCTCGCGCACGAGATCGATAAAAGAATTTGCTTTTCTTGACTTTGGTACAATCTTGAAATGTTAATCAAGGAAATAGACGGAACGCATGCTAAACATATATTTTTAATAACCTGTATAGTTGTTCTTTCTATATAATGCCATGTGCAGAATGTTATCGTTCGCAAAACTTGTCATTACAACATGTCTGCCCATGGCAATCAGTTATGTATTGCCGACAGAATGGTATGGAAAAGCGATGTCTTTTGTAAATTTGGAAAAATAAGGAAAACAATTAATAAATAGATAAAGCCAATGGTGTGTTATTGCGATCAGCAATACAACACGTCGAGTACGAACATGCGATTTGTAGACACAATGTAGAAAAGAACAACCCTAACGTCTAAAATTAGAGAGGTGTGTTTCAACCGTTGACTTATCCAACTTTTTTATTTATTAAGGAAAAATACACTTCTGTACTAAGCCATTTATGTCACAGCGAATTAGCGTGATTTCTATTTCTGTCGTTACTAGGGCATGGTAAAAGTACATGTGGATACAATACATGCTTCTCTAATGGATTTAAGCCGGCACACGGTCTACCTGATTGAAAATTTAACTGCGGCCAAAAACAGTTTCGTGATACAAGTGTAAGAAAACAGTAATCAAACAGGTCATTGACCCGACCAGAGACGGTTTAGAGATGATCAATTGTAAAGCCAATTACATCTCAATTAATTGATTAAATGGTTCTATTTGATTAATTGAATCAGTGGGTATAACATATTTTCTGTGATTTTGCTGTTGACTACTTATAAGAAATATGTAACTCGATAGGAGTGACTCAACTTTGAAAAGACAGGATTAGAAAATGATAATCCTTAACGGGCATTTATTACAATTAAATATAAGACTACTAGTCTATGTCTGTCGTCGAAGTCATAGACAACGTTAAACGTCGATTAAAACAAAGTGTCCTAATCGCCATAAACCAGCCATGGTTACGATAATTTACAGACGCGGCAATAGGGTTTCGAAATTTTAGCGGTTTCCAAGGTTTCTCGATGTTCAGTCACTTTTCTCTACATCTGTACTCAAGGTTGTAATCTTATTACCGCAAATTATGCTGGTCTTACCGTTGATAACAGCAGCAACGAGCGGTACAGCATTGCGGTAGAAATATATATAAAAAAAGAACTAGATTAGTGGTGGATTCTGGACGGATAGAATATTAAACACCAAAGTCAAAATATCTCTTAATATATACTCATTTATAATTTGTTATGAGCTTGCACATAACAATGTGCACGAGAAAGAATCTCAGTATTGACGACCTCGACAGCCCAGTCGGTTAGTACTATGGATGCTATATGAGGAAATCAATTTTTCATAATTTGTTCTGGTCGGGTTGTTCTAGTATTCAAAGTGCAGAGAATCCTTCCCTACATTTTTATTATTGGATCCACACGAAGGAAACTTCTTATCATTGCAATAGTTATTATACTCTAGCATACTTTTCCTAATTTTCTTTTGAAGCTTGCCACCAAGTGAAATGATTTTCAAACAGTGAAACACACCGTACTTAGTGCAGTGTTAAACAACAAAAGCTAATGAGTCTACGGAAGAGTCCAGGGCCGGAGCCAGGGCTGGACCGGCGCGTGAATTTGGAATTTAGCGTCGCGCGGACGTGGACGGGGCCGAAGTACTGGTTCGGCGGATCAGAGAACAAGTGCGGTACAATTTGCCTTACGGTACATGGACGACAAATGGATTTTAAAAAAAGGAGAGCATTGAATGTCGCATTAGAAAAGCGAGTGTTACTGAATTTAACAAACATTTAAAAAGATGTATGTAGACAACTACAGACTCCTGTCAGCAACGCCTGTAGTGCATTTTAGAATGAGCCACGTGTTTGATCTATAGTCTGTCTTTTTTGAAAACGGAGTAAAATGACATTTGCAGGGATGCCAGTTTTCATAAAATTTTAAATAGTCGCGTAATTATTGTCGATAGTTTTATCGATAGATTGTAAAAGAAGGTAAAATTTTGCCAAAAATGTCTGCATTGTGAATGTTAAGACGTTCCAATTACTAATAATGTTATTGCCTTGTTTATTCTTATTTTGACAGTTAGTATACCAGTATCAAAATCAAATTTTATTCATTTTAATAAAGGACCGGCGAATTTGATAATCTATATTGAATTAAAGTGCTTCTCCTCTTTGTATTTTTTGTTCTAAATGTTAGCATGTATGTATGTATGAACTTCCAAAATTTAACAATTCGAATAAACCTATGTTCAGCAGTTGGACGAATAATGAGCCGATGATGATTAAATGAAACAAGTTAAGCTATGACCATAAACGTGACCAACATTCAGTCGATAGTCGATAGAATATTTTCATCGATTGCAATCACTAGCTGCTCGCAAGCGGGCGACACTTTTGTGCAGTGAACTGTCATTTCACCCCATCTTCAAAAAAGACACTACTATATACCGTTTGAAGATTCAAACGTAAGAATTTGTGCATTGTGTTGTGCTCTACGAGTGTACATTATATACATCTTTATAAAGTAAACTGAAGTGCATGTACTATGAGACTGTCATGTAACAATGTTACCCTGTTCTCTTAACCGCCGAATTTGTGCCGAACGCTACTGAGAATGCGAACAATGTTTTATATGAAATGTTCTTTTTAATATTTATACACGAAAATACAGATTTTGCATGTGAGTTATGGATGGTCTAATGGAGACATAATTTATGTTCATCGTGTTGAATGATTTCAAGTTTTGTTATTGTTCATACCCACCTTGATTACCCCTACAGGTTTGCGAAATGCAAGTTCGTTCTTTACAAATGTCGTTTGAATATTTTTCTACATATTCGTTTCGTAAATGTCGAATTAACACGGTTTCATCCCGGCTTTATTGTAATTCCTGTGCACATAATAAAACGTAATAATTAGGATTTTTTTATATTAACAATAACATTATTTTTTTAAATTATCATAAGTTACTTATTTAATTTGATTAATTTTTAGTTGAGTACTTTCATCCACTTAGGGTGGTTATATATAACACCAAGAATTCTAGTTATAATTGGCTTCAATTTGCTAACCGAGTTTTCGTATAATCTTCAATTAAGTCATACTCAGTCAGAGTACATAAATTATTTAGTACTAAAGCATTCTCAGTAGCGACTCAGGCGCATAACAAGCCCCCAATCAAATCAATTAAGCTCTCACAAGTTCCGAGAGCTAGCCAATCAGTATACAAGAATAACATCAGAACATTAATCCTGGTTAATCTTTTGATGTTCATATCTTTTTCTGTTTAACGTTTCGTTGTATTCAGTATAAAAATGCTCACTTGGGATTTTCTTTTGGGTTTGAGTCGAGCTTGAATATTGGTACAACGCCAAAAGACGAAAATTATAAAATGTATTGAAATTTTTTTCTCTTTTTAATGCTATAAACGAAAAGATGAGCCGAGGCAAAAACAAAGCTTAAAACTTGAAACGCGTCATGCTTTTTAATTTACAAACTGGTTTAGTGTCGTTCTTTTTAACAACAATTATAATTTCAATAACTGGAATGCATTCATGTACGCATGCATACGCCAGACGGCAAATAACACAAGACACAGAACTACGCGTACCCGTATTCAAGCTCAATTCTATAAAAAAATAAAAATATTCAAATAAGTAACAAAACGTAAGCGAACGATGTTGTTTTCCACTATTCGTGATAATTTTATTTATAACTTTAAAAACAGCACTAGTTTCATATCTTTCCAATTAATTGCGCCTTAGAATTGTGACACTCGAACGGCATTATAAAATAAAACCTATGGATTCGATAATAAGACTGATTTTTAGTTGCATTTTTTGTTTAGCCTTATCAATTGCTTATTGTTCGATACTTAAGTTTTGTTACTTTGCATTTAATTTATTAATAATAATTAAATTGCAGTTACATGTTGCCTGTAAGATAATCACTATTATCGATTTAACTAGCAGATGAACTTCGGCCGATCACATCGGTTATTTAAGTACTATTAAGTTGTTTGGAAAAAACAAGTAACTGTCGTTTAATAATTTCATCACAAAAAGTCGGAAATTAGAACTACCTTATCGTTCCTATTTCAAGTATTATAGAATTCATTTTAAGCTTAAAATTAAACAACTTAAAGTGCCAAATGGAATAGCGATAAGGCACATCCAATTCACTGTCTTAAACAATAAGAATTAATTTGGCTATTCATTAAACTGAGGTGTACTCACCGAGTCCGACTTGTCCGATGGGCCCGAATACAGTGGGCGGATCCTGCGCGTGCGTGGGCAAAGGGAAGTACGCGGCAGAAAGGGGGGCGGCTGGGAGGGCCGTGGGGAGGGCCAATCCCAGCACCCCATGTTTGGTGAGGAGCGCTAGAGCTGCCACAATCTCATTTATACCCGCTTCGCTGTAGCCCGCTTGCCGAAGAGCCATCTAGCGTGAACAAATTTAACTCAATGAGGGAATCACCGCACTTATCGACACTGAATCGCTTTAAGCTGATTCAGAAAAAGCTTTATGTTCACGAAATAGAAGCGAAAAAAACGTCGTGCGTTTCGCGTCGGAAGCGAAGCACTCATCGTCTTTTTCGCTTTTATTGCACGGCCATAAATCTTTTCGTAACCGGCTCAAGCCGATTCCGCGTTAATAAGTGGGAGTACTCCCTAAGCTAGCAGTAACGCTGCACGGATGACAAGAAGATTCTAATCTTCAAACTTAAATTCCAACCTGGTCTCATGGATCGAGGAACTTCTTAGACGCGTTATTTGTACGGCCTGTCTGTACAATTGTCGGACGTCCAGGGGGAGTCGTCTTCCCTCGTCAGAGATTTAGTCAGGAATGCTCTAATCGTCTTTTGTCTGTCTAATTTGTCATAACGTTTAATTTGGAATTTCTGTCAGTCCAATGAGTCTGTCCGCAGAGCACCCACGGAGGCCCGACGCTGGGCATGGATGGAGGCTGGGCGGTGACGTCGTACCTTGATGTGGTCGAGCGTGTGCTGCGTGATGGGCGCCGGCGGCTGCGTGCCGGGCGGCGCGAGGGACAGCGTGAGCGAGAGCGCGCCCAGCCCCGCCGCCGCGCCGTTCACCAGCACGCCCCCCACCGAGCCCACCGAGCCCCCCAGTCCGTGCGTCTGCAATTCAGACGCGCGTTCGTGTTACCACCACACCGTATCGAACCTGTACAGGCTGTTACAAAAAGCTTACACTTTTCGGCGTGCAAGTGTCCAGGAAGCTCAACAAATTTCCTGCACGAAACGTTTAATGGACACTTTCGTAAACTATTGTTTGGCTTTTTGGAACACTCTGCATCCGTGCCATTGCTAGACCGGATCTGGTCTAATGAGTCCTCCACCGCGCCGATTTCAATGTTTGTAGGGTGTGTATTGGTTAATAACAGTGGCGAAAGAAATGCTTTGTCGTTAAAAACAAAGTCTTAGTATTTTCACTTTGCTGCAATCGAAATTGTAACAAGGCTCAAGAGAATTCTAACCCCACCTCGTCTTCATGAACGTAATAAAAATGTAGCTTGTGTCGCCACGGACAGCCAATGACGCAGAGACCTGAGCCTTAGAGTAGCTTGCTACATTTTTAACCGACTTCAAAAAAGGAGGAACTTCACAATTAGATTGTATTTCCTTTTTGCATGAATGTTACGCGATAACTCCGGCTATATAATTTGTGAACCGATTTTGTTAATCCTTTTTTTGTTTGACCAGTATTGGTCCCATTTAAATTTGAAGAAAATATTCCACCTCTAAGGGTGGCAAACTAGGGGATGAATCCGGTTTCGCGCATTTTCCGGTAACTGATTTCAATAAAACTTGGCCAAACGTAGACGTAATTCCACGAACTTTTGAAGTCGGTTTTCTTATAGAAAAAGTTACAATGCGCGTAAGTTATTGCATTCCGCAGCTTATTCTTAAAAATAATGAATAAATTATCCATCTAAACATCAAACACAATAGTGACATATGTGTATAATATCTTCACTTGTAATCGTAACGACGAAGCGGCATTTCCAGTAACCTTGCACTTTAATATAACACTGATAATAATGAGTTGTCAAAACAATATTATCAGCAAAGTAAAGATCCACAAACGGCGGAACCAATGGAGACTGCCCCGTTTCTAAACATGGTTAAAGAGAGGAATCTGGTCAAGTGATAATCGTTACTTAAAAGGCCACATCGCCGGTCGGGAAGAAGGCAAGTGTAAGCTGAGTGTAGTGTTGAGCATCGAGAGAACGAGCAAGCGTCGACACTTGAACACGCCCGCCAGTGCTGTCCACCACTGTGGTGATCACGATCGATGTCCGCCCTGAACGATAATCGTGGTAACACACCGAGAACCGTTAGTTTTTAAATACAAGTCAATTAGGACAGTCTGCTCATTTTTTTTATAATATAAGTGACGGGACAAACAAGTCGTGCGCCTGATGGTAAGCTACACACCTGTCCGTAACAGTTGCAGTGCCACTAAGAGCTTTAAATTGAAAAGATCTGAGGGGCACTGTCACTGCGCCCATCACCCTGAAACATAAGTTGACAAGTCCCATGTGCGTGTAATTTTACCAGCACCCTTACCCTTCTAAACTGGAATGCTGTAATGCTCATATTGTTGCTTGATGATGAACTCTTTCACAAGGAGCTCCACTGTTACTAGATTGCAACTGTATCTGTGGTACAACTAAATGGTTCATTTTATCTATTCACAGCACTGAATACGAGACACGAGTAAAGCTAGTTAATTAAATAGTTGCGTTAATCGCAGATTAATCTTTCGTATTTAAAATTACGGGTAATGCAATCGCCACGATTCAATGAAAAACTTTATTAAAAACTTTATTAATCGTGAATTGGTGATTACCAAATGAATAAATTTCCAACGGCATTTATAAACGTTACCAACAAACAGATCGCACGTTATCTTGTTACGCAACTACATAACAATGTGGTTATTCAATTATAAATCAATTATAAAGTAATGCGAATAAAATTGGTTAAAGTGGTATAAGAAATTAACGGCCAATTATCATGTAGCCACTTTATTTTAAATAAATTTTATGTCCTGTACTTTTTTTGAGCATAACTCGTGAATTTTCTTTAAACCTAACAAATTTCGACATCGAACGTGATCAATAGCAAGCAATAGTTCACAGGCGGTTGTGGCCAGGATACGGCCACAAGCCGTCACTTATGGCCATGAGAGACTATAACACTGCCACAAGCCACTAAAGACTAAGTTAAGCATAGAATAATTACTTCATAATCGCTGGATTCCAAATTAGTGAGTTAAATCGATTGTTGTTTGTATTCCGGAGTAGGTTTAATGTGGAATCTGGCGAAAACGTGAATATTAAGAAAAGCTTAAAAATGTTGGGTCTGTAAGTCGCTACAAATGGCCATAAGATAGGAATATTATCTGGCCACAGAAGACTAGGAGCGTGATCAAGCTGTCACCTCGGTCACCTCGGAGGTGGGCACGGCGTACGGCGACCCCGTCGGGTTGTAGTTGGCGACGGGGCCAGCCACATCGGCGTACGATACATTGGGACACGATCCAGACTGGGGATCGTCCACTACTTTCTGCAGAATCATGCCGCATGCTTTCTTGTTGTTTTCTTTTTCACCTGGAAATATATTGGAGTTGATTTATATCTAGAGGCACATTAAGGGCCTTCGGAAATGAAGATCCAGTGGATGCGGCATGGTATTTCATTGTTTTTTGGTCTCTCGTGACACGAGTTCCGATTTAACTAAGAGATTTAAAAGACTAGCTTTTCAAGTGGGCCAAAATCTGCCTAACAAGAAAAGCGGACTTGAGGCATGTCGTGGCATATTAATCTACCAGTTGTCGTCTCAGGCAAATCCCTCCCAAAAGACAAGAGTACCTAATTTTCAATGACCTTGCGTCCTAACGTTCACGGCACGAGCACGGCAGTTAATAGCTGGACAGTTATATAAAGCTTTCGCGTGTTGCTTGTGATAATGGGAAAATATAGGAGCACTGTCAGCTGAGCAATCAAGTATTGCTATGACGATTTACGACGAGGCGGTTTATTGTTTTATGTTTTGATAACTGTCCATTTTACGTACATTAAAACAAGTTGTGCCCACCTAACTCCATTCTTGTTATTGTAAACAGTTCTAGTGGCAAGGCTCTATGCTGATATATCCAGATCTTTTACAGACGCGATCTTATTAGTTATCAGGGTTGTTTCGCAGTTGCTCAATGTGTTTTAGTCCGCATTTTGATGTAGGCTGGCATAGATAGGAGAGAGAATCTTCAGTTTCTCGAACGCCGACCACGTGATGGAAGATACAGCATTCAGATCGACTACTTGATGGAGAAAACTGTACATGGTGTTATTCTACTCGTGATGACTGATGATAATGATAAGGTCTTACCGACGACGGTGATGCAGCGCTCCTGCAACGACACCTCCTTAGCCTTCTGCGAGATCTGCACGTAGCTGCCGCTTTGCTCTTTTATCTGCTTGATGTAATTGCCACCCTTGCCAATTATCATGCCCGCTGTCGAGTTCGGCACCAGGATCTTCACCTAGAACAGAATATTTCTTGTTACAACATGATTCTATGACTTATTATTTAATAATAAACATTAACAACATAAACGAGTACGACAATGGCACCTTTTCCCTGCAACAACACCGGAGGTGTTATTAAAATTAAAGCGGATTACGAATTAGTTGGTGGACGTAAAAAGGCGTCCATATTTTTTGCAGAGAGTGCCGCTCCGGGAGATCAACTTATTTTCACATAACGTGTCGATGTCGCCGACGAGAATAATGCCCAACGGCATATTGAACCTAAGCACTAATTCAGCTGAGCTGGCTGTTTGGTTACGAGCCTCTGGGGCTCGTTTGGGGTTAAAGCGATCATAGGGATAATAGTATAGATGATTACCTTTATGAACAAAATGCTGACAAGGACCTGAAAGCGCAAGTTTTTTATGGCAAATATGTAACGGTAACCAAAGATCTCACGCCGTTGGCCTCTTTTCATTAGTTGGTCCGTAACTACTGCAAAAACCTAACAACTAATACCCAATTCAAATTTCGGAAATGAGTTTCCAGAGTACACAAGGCAAGTAAATTGAACAAAACCTGCAATCTCATACTCTCTATTCATTTACAATCCTACATTTTCGACCTTCATGTGGTGAACAAAGAAATTCATACGAGAATCCATTGCATGCTTCCACGCTTTATCGCGGCGCTAATTTCGACTACCACTTAATAGATAATAGTCTAACCTTGGCTGTACAGCCTAACACACACCTACTAACACCACTTTGCTCTACAATCGTGCAAACCTTTTGCAAACGCCTTGATACTCTGTATAATAAAAATTAATACAATCTAGCACACAAGATCTCACAATGTTTTGTTTGAACAGTAAACAGTTTACAGTAGTTTATGTGATAGATTGTACCTTGAACTTTGATGTGTCGTTTACAACGTTACTTACAAGTTGTCACGTCATATTGTACTATTAGTTTTGTTAATTGCTAATAGCTATCGTGATACATTGTATATTAGACGATTATAGTTTGTACAAAACTACATAAAGTGATTACAGCGATTTGTTTTACAACTCTGAAACAAACCCCTTCAGTAATTCGCGTGGTGTTTTCCCTACGATAGTATCTTGTACACACCTAGGCACAAGTTGTTTAACAATGTTGGTACAATCTTTTAAATTGTTATATAATGCTATGTCGTCTGTTGTACCTATGTTTTATGATTGTGTTTAATAGAGTCTGATAGCTGCGAGTGATAATGATTAATGATAGTGCGCTGGAGTCATTTTATGTAACATTTTAACGTTTGTTTTTACGTTCGTTGTTTGTAACTTTAATTGTCTGTTTGTTTGAGATGAGGAAATCATATTAATTTATCTATTGTTTAAGAAAATGCTACACAATGGGTCTCCTGAATTTCTGTTTAAAAAGCATTTAACTTTATTGTGTTTTAATCGGGTTAAATGTTTTTGTTAATTATATTAAAATCTCTGCATGAAGAGTGATGGTAGCCCAGTGGGAGGACGGTTGCGTTTCAATAGTCAGGTCGATGGTTCGAATACCGTTGGAAATTTGCACCTATGACGAAACCTGCAAATCCTCGGAATACTTATGTAAAGTCTCCAACACGCATCGACCAGCAGAATCTCAAACCTTCTCTTTAAAGGAAACCCGTGCCTAACAGTGGAACGTATAATGATTTTGTCGTTCTTGTACCTTTGTATTGTAAAATGAGCACAAAGTTCTTCAGCATCAGGATGTAATATAGGTTACATAATAAGTAGAACAAGCCCTATAAGTACTAAGATAGCATGACAATACATATGTACACTGCAACGGCGCGTTGCCCGGGTTACCGCAGTGTTACGTAAATGGCCGGGACGGTGTCGGCACCCGGACTGCCCGCCCACTAAAAAGTGGCCTCGGTGACACAGTTTTTTTGGTACTTACAGCTGGTACTGACGAGGTCTCGTGTGGAGGATAATACGATTTTAAGGGTAACGAAATACGCTGACAGGATTTATTACACAGTGTCTACAAGAGCATTATAAAACATGTTATTAAACGAGTTTACGAAAATAAACCTTTTCTATCTGAATCGATTTCTGTATATTTACATTTTCTTGCCTGATTAGGGAGTGTCCTCTGAAAAAGATGTTTTTAGGCTATTAACTAGCTCTTTATTAAACTAGGTTTGCATCCTAAGTCGAGATCCGAATTGGTCAAAAACAAACGGTCTATGTGTTACATCTTGAAATAATAACACCACCTTGTTCATTCCGTCATTTGGTACCATAAAAAAAGGAAAATTATTAATGAATATTGATAGACGAATTTCGTAATGATTGAGATATAAATATGAATTGTCAATAACACATACTACTTTACAATTCGTTGTAGCAACATATTAAAACGCATGTTAAAAAGGACATGTACAAAAGGGAATTGTAGTAGGTATCCAGATTTCTTTTAACCAAACCTATCCATAGTAAGAAAGAAAGTCTGCGAGAATAATATTGCAAAATAAAATTATGAAAATAAATGAAAGTATATATACACCTATATAAAGTTATTTCAACTGTCAAGAGATTTACCGCGTTCCAGTTTAGAAGGGTCGGGATGCTGGTGAAACTATATGCAAACGGGAATAATCAACTCTATGTCTCTGGGTGTGCAGTGCCTCTCAGATCTTCATTATTAATATGTTAAGGACAAGCGTGTCGCTTGCCACCAGGCGCAGGACTTATTCATCCCGTCACTATCACATATTTGCGGTCCAGGTAATAAAAGTAAAGTTCATAGCTATATTTGTTTTAAATCATTTATTATTTCTTGCAATTTCTTTGCTTCATTATTGTAATATTTAAATATATGCCATTTCTTCCAAATGTTACAAAACGCAATGCCCCAATAGAGCTCACGTGCTGTCACTGTAACATTTTTCACACCAATGATAGCAGTTCCTACCAATGTGCAATACAATATACAATACAACTGTTTAATTTCTATATATTTTCCTCAAATATTAGAGTAGGTGATTCACAAGACCATTTAAAAGGCATCAAGTATGAAAAATGTTCCAGATATTGCAGTGTAAGAGAGCGTTGTGGCGTGAAATATGATGTAGTGACCACAAAAAAGGGAACGCTTCGAAGGTTTGGTCATGTAGAAAGGATAGATGTTAATGGCACAAATTTATAGACTGTAAATGGACACGTGACGTCAATATACTAATATCTGGATCATATTGGGGATGTCCATAAAAAGAGCAAGTTAAAAGTATCAGGAATAATGCCCGTTTATTCTACACGAAGTGACAGAAGCGAGTGGAGAAGGCGAAAGAGGTTTATCAGAGGTTAATGGCCTCTGCTTGCTGTAGTAGGACATAGACGTGATGGTATTCTAGGCTCTACTCTATGAGTAGAATCACTGGCTGAGTGAATATAGTTTTGTATTTAGAATATGTTTGAAAAAATGAAATAAAAAGAATCATCAGCATCAGCGAGCATCAGCAGAGCATCTTGAGAGTTCGTAATGTAACCCGAATCAGAAAATATGTAGAAAAGTGCAATAAAGCAAGTTTTGAAGATTATTCCAGTTTAAATTTATAAAAGTACCTCTCGCTACGCATCCTAAGCTACGCCCCAGTTACAGTATGTTATATATTTGTAAAATCTTGTTGAGCTACTTAACCCTACATTTTCCGCCCACATAAAAGACAAGAAATGAAAATCTTGAGGTATAAACCTAGACTCAGAGGCCGAAGAGAAATGGTCGTATGTTTAGCAAAAGACAGATAGACCGGACGGAGCCATTCTATGTTTAAATTCGAGAACGATCTTGGAGTGGCGGTCATTTAAGTCATTAGGACTAAAGCTTAGATAAGCTTTCAAAGATTGATGGTTTAAGAGAAAGGAATGTTAGGGTTCTCAGACCAGAATCAGCCTGGGAATCAGATCTGATCACCCTGGGTAGATCTGATAATTCTGTGTTCCAAAGTGCAAGGTGGGGAGAATTTGGCAATTGCAGTTCCATGGCCGGCAAATCATGTCCGATATTAAGGTTTGTTGCGAACGCAACAGATCTACAATTTTAACTACTGCGCCAAGCATTAGCGAAAAACTCCTCAGCGAACACAGGAACTATGCGGGGACTCCTAATTTGCATTCCATACCAAATGGTTAACTTGGACAAACCAACAAATGTCTAATTAATACTAGTCACATTTTCGCTTAATCATCTCGCTACTTTGTTATAATTATTAATACAAAGATCGAACACAGAAAATATTCCTTCGATCCGGCCGGATTCGAACCGACGTCTTCTAGCTTACCGTGCCAGACGCTATACCAACTAAGCCACGGAACGAACCAGCGGATCTCAGGAATTTTTCTATGTGCTTGCGTCGTGTCTTTGTATTTGGTTTTTTCAACGACTTTTTAGTCGTAGCGCCATCTATGAAAGATTTATCACCCAGTTAGTACCTTTACAGTTACCAGTCCTGGCGAGAGATGTCGCTATTCGCTGTATTTTAATTTTTTATTGAATTGATATTCAATTGTTTTTTGTGAAATTACGTAATACGTCGGTTCGAATCCGGCCGGATCGAAGGAATTTTTTCTGTGTGTTCGATCTTTGTATTAATAATTATAACAAACTAGTGGAGTAATTTCACAAAAAACAATTGAATATCAATTCAATAACAATTTAAAAAACATCTCACTACTGTCATCCATTATCGGCAATTAAGTTATTTCGAATATCGTGCAGTCAAACAAGTCGTCTTTCACTCGACCAAATCGTTTTTCATTTGACGAGCTCGTTGCAATCCTCACTATTTCCATCTGGGTCTTTGCCTGCCACTTTGACTGGCTTCGTCAAGGTAGCAGAGAAAAATTGGACGACCAAGATACATGACCGTAAGGAATGGCGTGCATTGGAACAGAGCATTGGGTGATAGAAGAGAGAAAGAGACATGTACACAGTACCTTAGCACGTAACGCTTTCATAGATGGCTA